ACTGTGGTTATAAAGAAAACAATTGCTCTGATTGGTCAATAAAAGCACATCGCGCGACAATTGTAGACAGCTCACATAACAACGACGTGTGACCTTGCTCCATCGCAACGTGGATGGGTGCTTTGCGCATGCTTACGTTCTGCGATCTGCGTTCTGCGACAATTGTAGACCCGGCTTTACAAGTTACATGATATGGAAAAATGTCAAACTTTTTTTTTGTTTTTGAAGATTTAGAATAACTGTAAAATGCAATAAAAAAAGCGTTATTTTAACAGTATAATTTTTAAATTTTGTAAAAATTGGTGATGGTCTAAACAATGAAGACGGTATTATTTTTTTGGAAAAATGTCGGCATTTTTTTGTTTTTAAAGATTTAGAAAAACTGTACAATGCAATCGAAAGACCGTTATTTAAATATTTTACACAAAACATTATGTAAAAATTGGTTAATTTTATGGAAAATTGTCGGTATTTTTTTTGGTTTTAAAAATTTTGAAAAGCGTTAAAATGCAATCGATTACAAAAGTCATATAACAAATACTGTAGATGGTATTATTTTTTGGAAAAATGTCTGAAATTTTTTTGTTTTTAAAGATTTAGAAAAACTGTAAAACACAATCGAAAGAGCCTTATTTTGGGAGTATACCCTAAAAATTTTGTAAAAATTGGTGATAGATTTCATAAGAAATATGACAAATAATGTAGAAGATATTATTTTTAGGAAAAAATTCAGTAATTTTTTTGTTTTTAAAAATTAAAAAAAAAAATTAAAATGCAATCAAAAGAACGTTATTTTGACAGCATACCTTTAAAATTTGTTAAAAATTTGTGATAGATTACAAGTTACATCACAATGGAGATTCCATTATTTTTTTGAAAATCGACTTATTTGGTAGAACGGTTTATTTCCCAACAAAGTTTTTGAAATTTCTGAAAAATCTTTTGTTATATTTTTAATTTTATTATCAATTAAAAATGGTTAAAACAAAATTTACATTTAAATGCAAATAACCAGGCCCGTGAGCACCGGGGGTCGGGTGTTCAACCCCCCCCAGGAGGGTTTTAAATTACAATTTTTACTTGTAATACTGAAAAATAACCCAAAAATTTATATAATTTTGTATGCAATATTTCACTTGAAATACTACAAAATATTAAGTAGTCTGATAGTTTGGCTTTGATCTCAAATAACTTTTGAAAGAGTAGATTTATCATGAAATGATAAAAGATCTTTTTTGCAGAGCATTTAATTTTCTAGAAAAAAATGTCTTGGTCTTATTATTTAAAAAAAGGAATATTTAAATTAAAAGGTGTTTTCTATATTTAGCTATTTTAAAAAGAGAAAAGATGTGTTCACACTTTGTTATATTAAAAATTAGTTAACAAGTATTTTGTACTTTTTGAATAATATTTTTTGTATTTGATTAATAAATGGATAATAATAATTAAAGTTAAATAAATACCTTGAAGAATAAGTCCCTTTCTGATGAAGCCTTTAAGGAATTTAGGATCCAATTCAACGCACTTATCGCAGTCTTCTAATCCTAACTTCGTGTAACACGCCGCCCTGTTGCTGTACAGCTTCGCGTCGTCTGGGTTGCGTTTAATAGCTTCGCAGTAGTGCTTCAAGGCTGCGGCAAAGTCTCCTTTTTTGAATAATTCGTTGCCCTTTTCTTTCTCCTTCTCGGCGAGTTCCATGTCGAAATTAGCCTCTATCTCTTCCTCTTTGATGACTTTTTCCACGTCGGAAAGCAGGCTTTCCGCTTCCGGTGTTCGGTGCTCCGTTAGGGACTTTTCGTAGCAAGTTTTCGCCGATCCGTATTTCTTCATTCTTTTGTACGCGTTACCTATAAAAACGCTTTTTAGGGCGATGTAACTTTTTTCACGATACAATTGGAATTAAAAAAGGTAAAAATTTAAGTAAACTACTAATACTTTGTTACCTATTCTCATAAACGATTTCGCTATCAACTTAAAATCGGCGCGGTTCTCCCGGCCGATTTCGATGCCTTTCTCGCACTCCTTTACGCATTTCTCGAACTCTTTCTGCTCGAAGTGCACCGCCGCCAAGTTGTTGTAGAACGTTATATCCGTAGGATCGTGTTCGATAGCTTTACGGTAACGCGCGATGGCCTCATCGAACTCTTTCTTCTTGTAAAACGCGTTTCCCTGCTCTTTTTCTTCCCTGGCCAAGCGCTTGTTCTCGGGCAGTTCCTGTTCCGGTTCTTCCTTCGCTTCCGGTTTCGAGATGGTTAACCATCTCACCTGAAAGTGAATAGTATATTTCTTAACGAGATGGTAAATTGTGGGATTTCGGGTAGACACAAAAAAACGCCAGCACACGAAAACTTAATTTTTGGCTGAATTCAGTGGTGTAATCCGTTTTTTAAAGTTAGGTTGTTTTCTCAAGATATTTCAAATGACGTTTCGTCTTTTTGGCTCTATTATATGACCTAGGAATATTTTACACTTTTTTTTAACACCCTGTTTTTTTCAAAAATTTGAAATTTATCTAGTGTAAGCCTGATTTATAGATTGCTTTCCTTCCTTTCTCCCTTTCTTCCATAAAAGATGAACAATACGTTTTGTTCATCTTTTATGAGAGGAAGGAAGAAAGGAAGGCAATCTATAAATCAGGCTTAATCATTCAAGAGTTGAAAAACTGTCCAGCGAATTGAGAACGCTATTTTTTTGACGACCACAACATTAATAGGAGAATCTAGAATATTTTATATGAAAAAATATTTAAAAAAATAAAAAATCATGTTATTTTTGTACTATTGGAAAGAGGTATAAAATTAAATTGACAAAAGCAAAATATCTCTTAGAAAACTTACCATTGTTAATTGAATATTCTTAGCATTCTCAAGAGTTTTGACTACCTTAAAGTGTCCATAATGAGCTGCAAGATTTAGAGCTGTACATTGACTTTGACTGCCTTTAAAAGTTACATCAGCACCATGTTTTAACAGAACAGTGGTAATCTCATCAAAACCATGTTCTGCTGCTATATGTAAAGGAGTCCCATTTGTGTCATCAAGAGCATTAACATCTGCCCCTTTTTTTAAGAGCCATTCAACCAGCTCTAAATGACCATAGTCTACTGCTATGTGTAGAGGGGTGTAACTTTCAATTGTTTTAGCATTAATGTCTGCCCCTTTAGCAAGCAAATATTTAGCAACTTCTAAATTACCATTATATGCCACAAAATGTAGAGAAGTGCAACTCTGATCATCGATGGAGTTGATGTTTGCTCCATTTTTAATTAAAAAATCACTAACCTCAAAATACCCTTGCTGAAGTGCTAGTTGTAAAGGTGTGAAACCTTCGTTATTTTTAGCATTAACATTGGATTTTGCTTTTAGTAAAATATCTACCAACTTTAAAAAGCCCTTTTGAGATGCTACATGTAGGGGTGTAAATTTATCACCTGTTTTTGCATTAACATTGGCTCCTGCTTCAAGCAGAGCCTCAACTATATCTAATCTACCTTTAAATGTTGCCAGATGTAATGATGTAATGTTTGTATCAAAATCAGACATACTAGAATTGATACCATTAACTCTAGTATTATTTATGCCTGAAGCGTTAACATCAGACCCATGTGAAATAAGAGCTTTAATTACCTTAAGGTTACCACTTTTAACTGCACAATACAAAGGTCTTTCTCCTTCATTATTTGGAGCATTAATATCTAATCCTTTTTTAATAAAAAAATTTACTTTATCTAGATGACCAATCTCCGCTGCTAAGTGTAAAAGTGTATGAAGATCATCTGTTTTAGTGCTAAGATCTGCTCCATTTGCAATCAAGATATTGACCATATCTAAAGAGCCTTTCATTGTCGCAAAACTTAAAGGTGTTATGCCTTCAATGGCCTTGTAGTTTACATCTGCTCCATGAGCAATAAGAAACTTAACCATCTCCAAGTGGTTTCCAGCAATTGCTAAATACAGTGGTGTAAAGCGATCATGCTTAATTTCAGAGTCAATATCAAAACCTTTTAATAATAGAGTGTTGACTAAATCCAACGAACCCTTTGCTGCTGCAAAATGCATCGGTGTAACACTCAATTTTTGCTGAATTTCGATTTCATTTAACAACTCTGTAAAAAATTGCAGCGGAGTATTAGATATTCCGATGGAAAACATCTTGGTTTTGTCTGGGGTTATCTAAAACGAAAAATCATATCATTGTTTCGAGAATAAAACGAAACAAGCTTAAACAACTTACACAACGAAATAAAGAGACAAAATGGCGAAACGACGCTAAACTTGTGATTCCCGCACTTCTGTCGATTCACAAGGGCTCCATCTATCGGCATTACCGCCAATTAAGAAATTGGCACTACAGAATTCTAAATTCTCGTTCGTGGCTCTGAACGGCAGAACATGCGAGAGCGAGAAAGACTCATTCAAATTCACATTAGCGGGACAGTGTTGCCAAGTTTTAGTTAGCCATCCCACTATGAAAATCCCACTAGAATCCTACTAAATCGGCCGAACTTCTCTTATAATAGAATACAAAAGTGCGTCGCACAGTGGTCTGAAAGGTAAATTTACGCGGAAAAAATTATTATTTAAACATTTTCCCAACACCTGTGTTTTTTATGTTTTAAGGGTGCTAAATCTACTTCTGATATAAATTTTTTCAAAAATATTTGGTATTCAGGATGGGGAAGTCTAGCCAAATGATATAAAATGAATTTTTTCAATATTCGTGTATGTTTTATGTTTTTATTCATGTTTTATATTTAATAATTTATTTATTAAATAAATAAATGTTTATAGTTCGTATCAGGGAGCAATTCGCCAATGTTGGGGATTGCAACATGGCGCAAGCAAAATTTTTCATGAATAACTATATTATTAGGTATATCAACATTTTACCATATTTTTTTTTTAATCACCTTTTCGCCAATATCGTGATGGTTGACAAAAAAATGACTTTGTATGTTACTTCATAGGTCATGAAATAAATAAAAAAGAAATACATTGAAAGGAAAGAAGCACATAGTTTATTATAACCCATTAAAATACAAAAAACACTTAAACCTAACTTATTAATACCAGCAAGAATACAAGATTCTAATTATTGTATTTTTGCCGCGACATTGGGACTCTTTAGGAGATCTGGCAAAGCACGTCGTTTTGCATTTGTTCCAGGATCCTGCGCATTGCAGGAAGTTTCAAAATGGCCTGCACTTCCGGATCGTGCTTGACCCTCTGCCAAATCTTCTCAGAATTCTGATCTCCTTCCAAGTTGGAATTCTCAATAATGCAGGCCCTGAGGCCATGAAGCGCTTCTGCGTTGTTTGGATCGATTTCCAGGGCTTTTAAGAAGGCAAAGATGGCCTTTTCCTGTTGCTGCATACCTTAATAATAATATAGTTGTAAAAGTTTGCGATAGATTACGTACACGTGTTACAATTACAAGTTACATGACATGGAAAAATGTCTAACTTTTTTTTGTTTTTGAAGATTTAGAATAACTGTAAAATGCAATAGAAAGAGCGTTATTTTAACAGTATAATCTTAAAATTTTGTAAAAATTGGCGATGGTCTAAATTAGTTACATGACAAACAATGAAGATGGTATTATATTTTGTAAAAATGTCAGATTTTTTTGTTATTAAAGATTTATTAAAACTGTGAAATGCAATTAAACGAGCGTTATTTTGACAGTATACCCTTAAAATGTTTTAAAAATTTGTGATGTTACATGATGAACAATGTTGGTGTTTTTATTTTATTTTTTGGAAAAATGTCGGCATTTTTTTGTTTCGAAAATATTTTACCCTAAACATTTTGTAAAAATTAATTAATTTTTTGAAAAATTTTCGGTATTTTTTTTGGATTTAAAAATTTAAAGATTTAGAAAAACTGTAAAACGAACCTTATTTTGGGAGTATACCCTTAAAATTTTGTAAAAATTGGTGATAGATTTCATAAGAAATGTGACAAATAATGTGGAAGATATTATTTTTAGGAAAAAATTCAGTAATTTTTTTGTTTATAAAAATTAAAAAAAAAACTTTAAAATGCAATCGAAAAAGCGTTATTTTGACAGCACTCATTTAAAATTTGGTAAAAATTTGTGATAGATTACAAGTTACATCACAAACAATGTAGATGCCAATATTTTTTTAAAAATCGACTTATTATGTAGAACTTTTAATTTCCTAACACAGTTTTTGAAATTTCTTAAAAATCATTAGTTATATTTTTAATTTTATTATCAATTAAAAATGGTTAAAACAAAATTTAAATTTAAATGCAAATAACCAAGCCCGTAAGCACCGGGGGTCGGGTTTTCAAACCCCCCCCCAGGAGGGTTTTAATTACAATTTTTACTTGTAATACCGAAAAATAACCCATAAATTTATATAATTTTGTATGCAATACTATGATATACTACAAAATATTAGTCTGATAGTTTGGCTTTGATCTCAAATAACTTTTGAAAGAGTAGATATATCATAAAATGATAAGAGATCTTTTTTAGAGCATTTAATTTTCTAGAAAAAAATGTCTTGTTCTTATTATTAAAAAAAAGGAATAGTTCAATAAAAAAGTGTTTTCTATATTTAGGCATTTTAAAAAGAGAAAAGATGTGGTCAAATTTTGTTATATTAAAAATTAGTTTATAACAAGTATTTTGTACTTTTTGAATAAGATTTTTTGTAATTTGATTAATAAATGGATAAAAATAATTAAAGTGAAATAAATACCTTGAAGAATATGTCCCTTTCTGATGAAGCCTTTAAGAAATTTAGGGTCCAATTCAACGCACTTATCGCAGTCTTCTAATCCCAACTTCATGTAACACGCCGCCCTGTTGCTGTACAGCTTCGCGTCGTCTAGGTTGCGTTTAATAGCTTCGCAGTAGTGCTTCAAGGCTGCGGCAAAGTCTCCTTTTTTGAATAATTCGTTGCCCTTTTCTTTCTCCTTCTCGGCGAGTTCCATGTCGAAATTAGCCTTTATCTCCTCTTCTTTGATGACTTTTTCCACGTCGGAAAGCAGGCTTTCCGCTTCCGGTGTTCGGTGCTCCGTTAGGGACTTTTCGTAGCAAGTTTTCGCCGATTCGTATTTCTTCATTCTTTTGTACGCGTTACCTATAAAAACGCTTTTTAGGGCGATATAACTTTTTTCACGATACAATTGAAATTAAGAAAGTGATGGTAAAAATTTAAGTAAACCACTTATACTTTGTTACCTATTCTCATAAACGATTTCGCTATCAACTTAAAATCGGCGCGGTTCTCCCGGCCGATTTCGATGCCTTTCTCGCACTCCTTTACGCATTTCTCGAACTCTTTCTGCTCGAAGTGCACCGCCGCCAAGTTGTTGTAGAACGTTATATCCGTAGGATCGTGTTCGATAGCTTTACGGTAACGCGCGATGGCCTCATCAAACTCTTTCTTCTTGTAAAACGCGTTTCCCTGCTCTTTTTCTTCCCTGGCCAAGCGCTTGTTCTCGGGCAGTTCCGGTTCCGGTTTCGAGATGGTTGCTTCCGCTTTTTGTACCCTTACCTGAAAGTGAATAGTATATTTCTCATCGAGGTGATTTAATCCTTTTATTTTCATTTTAACACTGCTGTAAAAATAAGTTACCTACACATTTTTGAATATTTTATTGCCATGTATGATGCATTTAAAATTATAAAATATTATAATCTATACAGAATTCTTCGAAGATCAGATATCAAATATTTATTAATTAAATTAATTTAAATTTAAATTTACTATAGTATACTTATGCTTAAGTATACTTATCAATATTTTAGGTCCTACCAATTAATAAAAAAAAATATTTCTCTCCACATGTGCATATTTTTCAATATGCAATTGTTTTTTAACAATGGTTTAGTCAAAAAATGTAAAAAATCAATCTTGTATTTTTGAAACTGGTTTTTATTATCTTTTAATGCAGTTTTCATTTTTAGTTATACAAAATATTTTCGGTATTTTAATGCATTTATTTAAAAATAATATTAATAAATAGCTACAGATTTTTTTTATATTTAAGATAAATAGGTAGATTTTTTTCTATAACATTCTTTCATATTTGTAATGAAAAAAAATCAATTTTGATCGATTTTTCTTCTGTATACGATTTTCCAATAATTTTTGAATAAAATACTTGGTTTTATTTTTTAATTTATTTATTTATTTTTTAAATTTTAATTAAAGTAGGTGCTCAAAATAACATTATTAAATATTTGCTCGACGAACTCTTTTTTTCGGTTGAACACTCCCGTTTGTAGTAAACTGCTTGACTGTACGGTGAAATGAAGTACCTGATCGAATTTTATCCGGAAAACGCTGAGCGTAGATATTAACAGCATCATTAAGATTCCTGCCTGCTTCCCCATAAATCAAAATCATATCTATTTTTTCTTCCACTGTTAAAAAATCCATAATGAATAACTGCTTAACGAAAGGAGGTCTTTTTGTTTGCAAATTAATCTTTGAACTAAATTGATTAAATAATGCTAAACTATATATAGTTTCTTTATACCTCAATAATAAATATTAATATATAAATAATTATTTATAACTAAATACCATTTTTTTATACCTAAATTAGGATTAAAATAATTAATTGACAAAATATTGTTTTTTTAACCTTAAATAAGGCATTTTTATTAAAAATAGTACAATAATCCTTTAAATTAAAGGATTTAATGCTGGCAGGTAAAAAGTGACCATGGTGCGCAATTGATAATTATCACTGAATAAAATAATTAAGGTATAAAACTTAAACCAAAGGAAACTTAAATATTAGTTAAAAAATCGTGGGTACCTACTTAAAAAAATCAGATTTAATTTAATAAGATAATTATTACCAAAAAAGTGATATTTTTATAGAAAAATTATTGCAGAATCGTTTACAGAAGAAAAATTAAACAAAATTGATTTTTTTTCATTACAGCGCCATCTATTACAAATGATCCGAATCTTCAGTATGAGGACCAATTTTAGTACTGATTGATTTCCCCCCTCAAATCATTTAATTTTTATTTTAAATTTTTTTTTGTAAAATGTATACTAACTGAGATATTTCAAAGTTTCATGTTAAATGACTCACCCTGTATATTAACTAACTTAAAATAAAGTTAAGGAATTACTGAAATCAGATGAAATGAGGACTGTATACAGATTATAAGCCTAACTTTTTAATAAACGTTTTTACTGCAAAACTATAGTTTTGTTTTAAGTTATAACTTAAATAAATTTCTTAAATTTCACAAAACTTACCTTTGGTGGTGTTGATGGCAACTGTTGTTGGTCAAATTCAGATCCACTAAATGGATTTTTATCTAATTGAATATTTTTAAAATCCGCTCCATTTTTAACAAGAGTTTTGACTACCTTTTGACCATATTTTGCTGCAAGATGTTTTCTTTGATTTTTTGTTAAATTTACACTGGCACCATGTTTTAACAGCACAGTGGCAATCTTATCGAAACCATGTTGTGCTGCCATATGTAAAGGAGTCCTATTTTTGTTATCAAGAGCATTAACATCTGCCCCGTTCTTTAAGAGCCATTTAACCAACTTTAAATGATCATTGTCTACTGCCAAGTGTAGAGGGGTGTAACTTTCAATTGTTTTAGCATTAATGTCTGCTCCTTTAGCAAGGAACAATTTAGCAACTTCTAAATTACCATGATGTGCCACAAAATGTAGAGGAGTGCAACCCTGATCATCTGTGATGTTGATATTTGCTCCGTTTTTAATTAAAAAATCACTCAACTCAAAATGCTTTTGCTGAATTGCTAGATGTAAAGGTGTAAAACCTTTGTTTTTTTTAGCATTGACATTGGCTTTTTTCTCTATTAGTAGCTTCACCACTTCTATATGGCCAAGCTGAGACCCCATATGTAAAGCTGTGGAATTAAGGTGGTTTTTAGCATTAACATCAATTCCCTCTACAAGAAGGAGAGACTTAATGACTGCAAATTGATTACGTTCTGCTGCCAAATGCAGAGGTGTATAATTATTATGATCCTTGGCATTGGCATTGGATTTTGCTTTAAGTAAAATGTCCACCAACTCCAAAAAGCCCTTTTGAGATGCTACATGTAGGGGTGTTATCTTATCCCCTGTTTTGGCATTAACATTGGCTCCCGCTTCGAGCAGAGCCTTCACTATATCCAATCTACCACTTTGTACTCCAAAAAGTAAGGGTGTGATGTTTGTTTCAACTCTAGTGTTACACATGCTTGAACATCCAGCATTAATATCAGACCCATGTGAAATAAGAGCTTTAATTACCTTAAGGTTACCACTTTGAACTGCTAAGTGCAAAGGTGTTAGTCTATCATTATTTGCAGCATTAATATCTAATCCCTTTTCAATAAAAACATTTACTATATTTAGATGACCATTCTGTGCTGCTATGTGTAAAGGTGTATTAAGTTCATCTGTTTTAGTGTTAAGATCTGCCCCATTGTCAATCAAAGTGTTGACTATATCTAAACAGCCTTGCTGGGAGGCAAAACTTAAAGGCGTAAACCCCTTAATGATCTTATGGTTTACATCTGCTCCATGAGCAATAAGAAACTTAACTATCTCCAAGCGATTTTCTTGAATTGCAAAATCCAGAGGCATAAGTCTTTTATGCTTAGTCTGTGAGTTAATATCGAAACCTTCTGCTAATAAAGTGTTGACTAAATCCAATTCACCGTGTGCTGCAGCTAAATGTAGCGGTGTAACATTCAATTGTTGCTGAGTTTCGATTTCATTTAACAACTCTGCAAATTGCAGCGGATCCGGATTATTAGATATTCCGATAAAAAACATCTTGGTTTTGTCTGGGGTTATCTAAAACAAAAAAGCATTACATGTAATGCATTGTTTCGAGAATAAAACGAAACAAGCTTAAGTAACTTACACAACGAAAGAAAAGCAATAAAATGGCGGAAAGACGCTAACTTGTGATTCCCGCACCTCTGTCGATCATATACTTCACAGAACATATACTTCTTCTTTCTTCTTCAATCTGAACACAGAAGCACTGTGTTCAGGGGTAATGGCCTTTAGCTTATTTACAAGCTATTTGGCCAGCTCATTATGTTTTAAAATTTATTTTATATGATCAAGGGTCTCAATCAAGAGAATCTGAGTTCAACTCATCCCTTGAATCATTTATCTATTATCTATATTCTTACTGTTTATGGTTTATTTCAATATTATTCGTTTTCCGTCTTATAAATTTAAATCATATACTTATGTTCTGTGCTAAGCACAATACCACAATGGATTGTGCACAATACTAAGCATAGAAAAAGGATAAAAAGTATATGCTGTCGACAGGCTTGCGAACTGTAGTAAATAAAAAAACAAAAATAAACAAAATAACCTTTGTCTCTAAACAAAACCGTACCGGCGCGCCGGCTAAAAAATGACCGTACTTTTCAAAACAGGTCCGTACTTTCGCGATTTCACATATGACGTTAGCAAAATGTTGGATATTCATATTTGAATTTAGCGCCAACTACGTCAGCCGGAAGGAAGGGAAAAAGTAGACAAGTATGGCGGTTTTACACACGAGGTTAATTTTCTGTAAGAATAAGTTTTAAGTGATATTGGAATAAAGAGTTGGATTGGAGACTGGGTGTTATTTAACAAACCATCAACCCAGAAATACAAAGACAAATACACAACACAAAACAAGCATAATTTTTAAAAGATAAAATTTTACACAAGAACATAAATTCTTTAAGATATATATTTATATAGAAACAAAAGAATTTTTAATTTTCTTTTAAATGATAGTAATAATCTAAAGAATGTTTTGCTGTATTATGCAAACATATTTTTTCTGAGATTCTTGAGTATCGATTGATCTTAAGATCCACATTACAATTGTTGTTAGTTATTACTAAACGGTTAACATTTTTTTTCTCAAAACATAAATATAACATTTGACTTTGGCCAAGTTTTTCAGTTTTTAGCCTTTTTAGCCTTAAATTAAATTACGTTACATTACATTAAATTCTTAACCGGCCAGATACCTTCTTTATCTCTTGTCAGAATTAATTTAGAACTCTGTACCCACGATTTCTTAATTGGCGGTAATGTCGATAGATGGAGCCCTTGCGAATCGACAGAGATGTGGGAATCACATTTGAGCTCGTTCAGCCATTTTATTTCTTTTCTTTTGTTGTGTAAGTTGTTTAAGCTTGTTTCGTTTTATTCTCGAAACAATGTTATGTTTTTTGTTTTAGATAACACCAGACAGACAAAACCAAGATGTTTTTTATCGGATTATCTAATAATCTTGTTCCGCTGCAATTTTTTGCAGAGTTTATATATAAAAACGAAATTCAGCAAAAATTGAGTGTTACACCGTTACATTTTGCAGCAGCAAAGGGTTCGTTGGATTTAGTCAACACTCTTTTATTAGAAGGTTTTGATATTAACTCTGAGATTAAGCATGATGGCTTTACACCACTGTATTTTGCAATTGCTGGAAATCACTTGGAGATGGTTAAGTTTCTTATTGCTCATGGAGCAGATGTAAACCATAAGTCCATTGAAGGCTTAACACCTTTAAGTTTTGCGACAATGATAGGCTCTTTAGATATGGTCAATATCTTGATTGCAAATGGAGCATATCTTAGCACTAAAACAGATGAACTTCGTACACTTTTACACTATGCAGCAGAGAATGGTCATCTAGATATAGTAAATGTTTTTATTGAAAAGGGATTAGATATTAATGCTGCAAATAATGAAGGAGTAACACCTTTGCATTTTGCAATTAAAAGTGGTAACCTTAAGGTAATTAAAGCTCTTATTTCACATGGGTCTGATATTAATGCTGGATGTTCAAGCATGAAATTGTGTAATACTAGAGTTGAATCAAACATTACACCCTTACATTTTGGAGTACAAACTGGTAGATTGGATATAGTGAAGACTCTGCTTGAAGCGGGAGCTAAAGTTAATTTCAAAACAGGGGATAAGGTTACACCTCTACATTTAGCATCTCAAATTGGCTTTTTGGAGTTGGTAGACATATTACTTAAAGAAAAGTCCAATGTAAACGCCAAGGATTATGAGAATGCTACACCTCTGCATTTAGCGGCAGAACGTAATCACTTTGCAGTAGTTGAGAGACTTCTTCATGTAAAGGGAATTGATGTTAATGCTAAGTACCACAATAACACCACAGCTTTACATATGAGCTCCCAGAATGGTCATTTAAAAGTGGTGAAGCTACTAATAGAGAAAAAAGCCAATGTCAATGCAAAAAAAATTGAAGGTTTTACACCTTTACACCTAGCAATTCAGCAAAGTCATGTCAAGGTGAGTGAATTTTTAATTAAAAATGGAGCAAACATTAATGCCATGGATGATAAGAATTGGACTCCTTTACATAACACAGCATACAATGGTTTTTCCCTCAAAATAGCACAGAGCTTAATTGAAAAAGGGGTCAATATAAATGCAAAGGTTGATGATGGTAGGAGAGCTCTACATTTGGCAGCAGAACATAATCACTTGGAAATAACAAATTTTTTGATTGAAAATGGGGCAGATATACATGCTCTAGATTACAGAAGGAGGACTCCTCTACATTTCGCAGCATATGATGGTAATTCAGAAGTTGCTAAATTTTTGCTTGCCAAAGGGGCAGACATTAATGCTAAAACAATTGGAAGTTACACCCCTCTACACATAGCAGTAGACCATGGTCATTTAGAGCTGGTTGAATGGCTCTTAAAAAAAGGGGCAGATGTTAATGCTCTTGATGACACAAATGGGACTCCTTTACATATAGCAGCACAACGTGGTTTTGATGAGATTACCACTGTTCTGTTAAAACATGGTGCTGATGTAACTGTTAAAGGCAGTCAAAGTCAATGTACAGCTCTAAATCTTGCAGCTCATTATGGACACTTTAAGGTAGTCAAAACTCTTGAGAATGCTAAGAATATTCAATTAACAATGGTAAGTTTTCTAAGAGATATTTTGCTTTTGTCAATTTAATTTTATACCTCTTTCCAATAGTACAAAAATAACATGATTTTTTATTTTTTTAAATATTTTTTCATATAAAATATTCTAGATTCTCCTATTAATGTTGTGGTCGTCAAAAAAATAGCGTTCTCAATTCGCTGGACAGTTTTTCAACTCTTGAATGATTAAGCCTGATTTATAGATTGCCTTCCTTTCTTCCTTTCTCTCATAAAAGATGAACAAAACGTATTGTTCATCTTTTATGGAAGAAAGGGAGAAAGGAAGGAAAGCAATCTATAAATCAGGCTTACACTAGATAAATTTCAAATTTTTGAAAAAAACAGGGTGTTAAAAAAAAGTGTAAAATATTCCTAGGGCATATAATAGAGCCAAAAAGACGAAACGTCATTTGAAATATCTTGAGAAAACAACCTAACTTTAAAAAACGGATTACACCACTGAATTCAGCCAAAAATTAAGTTTTCGTGTGCTGGCGTTTTTTTGTGTCTACCCGAAATCCCACAATTTACCATCTCGTTAAGAAATATACTATTCACTTTCAGGTGAGATGGTTAACCATCTCGAAACCGGAAGCGAAGGAAGAACCGGAACAGGAACTGCCCGAGAACAAGCGCTTGGCCAGGGAAGAAAAAGAGCAGGGAAACGCGTTTTACAAGAAGAAAGAGTTCGATGAGGCCATCGCGCGTTACCGTAAAGCTATCGAACACGATCCTACGGATATAACGTTCTACAACAACTTGGCGGCGGTGCACTTCGAGCAGAAAGAGTTCGAGAAATGTGTTAAGGAGTGCGAGAAAGGCATCGAAATCGGCCGGGAGAACCGCGCCGATTTTAAGATTATAGCGAAATCGTTTATGAGAATAGGTAACAAAGTATAAGTAGTTTACTTACATTTTTACCATTACTTTTTTAATTTCAATTGTATCGTGAAAAAAGTTATATCGCCCTAAAAAGCGTTTTTATAGGTAACGCGTACAAAATAATGAAGAAATACGAATCGGCGAAAACTTCCTACGAAAAGTCTCTAACGGAGCACCGAACACCGGAAGCGGAAAGCCTGCTTTCCGACGTGGAAAAAGTCATCAAAGAGGAAGAGATAGAGGCTAATTTCGACATGGAACTCGCCGAGAAGGAGAAAGAAAAGGGCAACGAATTATTCAAAAAAGGAGACTTTGCCGCAGCCTTGAAGCACTACTGCGAAGCTATTAAACGCAACCCAGACGACGCGAAGCTGTACAGCAACAGGGCGGCGTGTTACACGAAGTTAGGATTAGAAGACTGCGATAAGTGCGTTGAATTGGACCCTAAATTCCTTAAAGGCTTCATCAGAAAGGGACATATTCTTCAAGGTATTTATTTAACTTTAATTATTATTATCCATTTATTAATCAAATACAAAAAATCTTGTTCAAAAAGTACAAAATACTTGTGAACTATTTTTTAATATAACAAAATTTTCTCTTTTTAAAATAGCTAAATATAGAAAACACCTTTTAATTTAAATATTCCTTTTTTAAATAATAAGACCAAGACATTTTTTTGTAGAAAATTAAATGCTCTACAAAAAGATCTCTTATCATTTTATGATAAATCTACTCTTTCAAAAGTTATTTGAGATCAAAGCCAAACTATCAGACTAATATTTTGTAGTATTTCAAGTGAAATATTGCATACAAAATTATATAAATTTGTGGGTTATTTTTCAGTATTACAAGTAAAAATTGTAATTTAAAACCCTCCTGGGGGGGGGTTGAACACCCGACCCCCCGTGCTCACGGGCCTGATTATTTGCATTTAAATGTAAATTTTGTATTAACCATTTTTAATTGATAATAAAATTAAAAATATAACAAAAGATTTTTCAGAAATTCCAAAAACTTTGTTGGGAAATAAAACGTTCTACCAAATAAGTCGATTTTCAAAAAAATAATGGCATCTCCATTGTTTGTGATGTAACTTGTAATCTATCACAAATTTTTACCAAATTTTAAAGGTATGCTGTCAAAATATCACTTTTTCGATTGCATTTTAAAGTTTTTTTAATTTTTAAAAGCAAAAAAATTACTGAATTTTTTCCTAAAAATAATGTCTTCCACATTATTTGTCATATTTCTTATGAAATCTATCACCAATTTTTACAAAATTTTAAGGGTATACTCCCAAAATAAGGCTCTTTCGATTGTATTTTACAGTTTTTTTTAAATCTTTAAAATCAAAAAAATTACTGACATTTTTCCAAAAAATAATACCATCTACAGTAGAAACCACCAATATATGAACGTGACTCATCAGGTGCCGAACATATCTCAGACATGCTAGCAGTAATGTTTTACTTGTCTTGTACATTCGATGCAGCGGTAAATGTACTCACACGTAGGTTTTTAAGCATCCGGTCTAAAATGCGCCATCTGTGATGTAAAACTGCCTATAGGTGTTGGACAAAGATGGACATATGACGCGTGTCCTAGCGTGTTACTTATTTTTTTTGGAATTCAGTAGAGTTCGTGTTTTAGGCATTTATTTTATTTTATTACATAGTAAGGCAACCAACTTTACCGTCGGCCATTTGTTTTTATATGTCATATGATCTTTGTTTTTGCATATCGTGTTTCTGCTGTGTGTTTACGGATTAATAATCGTTTTAAACGTTGTAGTGCTAGTGGTTTTTATTGCAATTGTTATTGCATGTTTATTGGACTTTATTGCAATTGTTATTGTATACGTTTTTTGGACTTTAAATAAACGGTGTGTGTTTACGGATTAATAATCGTTTTAAACGTTGTAGTGGCAGTGGTTTATATTATGTAACACAGGTAGATGTCGTATAAAAATCCTTACCTAGAAATTCTAGGCTAGAATACAAAAATATTTTTATTATATAAATTTTGTACTAGTATTAGTTTAATAAATTCTGAAGAAGCTACTGTGTAGCGAAACAATTGTCAATATTTAATAAATTTCGTGAAACTAACGCAAGTTGTTTTAATATCCACACAATTTAAATATCTTTCACTTTGTACCTGACCTGCGAAAAACATTTTTGTTTTTTGTCACCAATTCTGAAATATTTGCGTTTACAGTTAAAAGAATAGTATATTCTGTAACAAGTTTGACGGTTTCACGAGAGGGGAATATGCAATTCCAAACGTGTTTCAGACTATACTTTTTCTACGTTTCCAAAAAATACCATAGACAAAGAATTTAATTGGAAGAAAGTGAGGTTGGATCGGTCTAAAATTTGTTAGATATTAAAAACAGAGATGTCGCCACGAGTGTATACATTCTGTCATCAGATGATAGAATATTTCATTAAAGTTAAAAGAAAAGTTTATTTATTAATTAGTTTCTAAGAAAATTACATTTTATTTAATTATCGTAGATGTTAATTATTAAAATTTAACTTTAAAAGCAAATATATTATAAGTATAGCAACCAACATTACACTCAAGATTTTTTACAAACAGCACTGCACTGGACCGTGACCTTCGATAGATTGCTTCGTACGAATGTGTCGGATGAGTCACGTTCATATATTCGTGGTTTCTACTTTACAGTATTTGTCGTATGACTTTTGTAATCGATTGCATTTTACAGCTTTTCAAAATTTTTAAAATCAAAAAAATTACCGACAATTTTCCAAAAAATTAACCAATTTTTACAAAATGTTAAGGGTAAAATATTTAAATAACGGTCTATCGATTGCATTTTACAGTTTTTCTAAATCTTTTAAAACAGAAAAAAACCGACATTTTTTCAAAAAATAATGACACCAACATTGTTCTTTATGTAACATCACCAATGTTTATAACATTTTAAAGGGTATATTGTCAAAATAACGCTCTCTTAATTGCATTTCACCGTTTTTATAAATCTTAATTAACATTTTTCCAAATAATAATACCATCTTCATTGTTTTTCATGTAACTCATTTAGACTATCACCAATTTTTACAAAATTTTAAGATTATACTTAGGGTTGGGAAAATTTCACCTTTTGCTTGTACTTGAAATTTCACTTGAAATTTTCACGACATTTATGAAATTTATTAAAATTTCCTAAATGTCTGAAATTTCATGAAATTTATGAAATTTATTGAAACTTTCAATAAATTTCAATCACTTTAAGTGTAATATATTAATATTGAAATAAGCCCACTCGGTGACCATGGCAAATTGCCTCACTTCCCAAGCAGCATTTTTGGTTCCAAAAACCATTGCCAAAGTGGTGATAACTTTAAATTAGTTAAGTATACTAAACAGCTACTTTAATTTTTACTTAAAAGTAATTCTAACTTTTAAATAGCAATATTTTGTAACAGAAACTTAATTTTTCCTTAAATTGTTACTATAAAGTAATAAACATTTAAGTAAAACTTGGTTGCCCCCAAGAAGACTTTGCAACTTTAAAAAAGATGTTATAAGTAAAAAAAACTTTCAAGTAAATTTAATTTGTAGCAGTTACTTTCGGTTGCTACCTAAAGATTACATTATAATTATTTTTACTTTGTAGTCCCTTTGCAAGTTAAAATCTCGAAACTGGAACATGAGTTAAAAACTACAAAGTTAATAACTTAAAAGTTATTATTTTAGTATTTGGAACGTTTATGGTACTAACCAAAACAACCGTAAAGTGGAAAAAAACTTTAAAGTAGCGAAAACTACTTCAAAGGAAAATGCTTCTTATCGGCCATTTTTACTGTACAGTACCACGTGGTAATGTAAATAATAAATTATTTTAATTGTTTGTAAATGGTTGTTTACTTTTTAATAAATAGAAATATTGTTGGTAATAGACGGTATTAATAATTAAATAAAAAAAATAATAATAAATATTAAGATTTTTTTATTTATAAACATTACTAAATAAATAATTTGTTTATACTTAAATATTGATGAAGCGCATTTATTTTACAAAAACTAAATTCATAAGTTCACAGTAAAATTTAAAGGGTTTATAAATCTACCTGCAGGTAGACATGTCTAATTAAATATTATATTGTTATTCTGGAAGTTATAAACTACCAGTACATATTTAATAAACGACGACATTGAAAAGCCAAGTCCGTAGTGGTTCCATTTAAAAAAGGAGGGATAGTATAATCTAATATAAGTTTGACAAAGACAGTTAATATAGAAGTAAAAACAAATAATAAAAGTAATTATAACGCTCTAGCAACGATATTGGAACGTTCTAGTAACGTAGCAGCTACGTCCCAAATAGTAGCAGGGTTGGTAGCTAGTGACATATTTGCTACCTTTTTGGAACTCAATAATTGTTCCCCACTTTAGTCGTAACGTAGTAATGAAAGAGTAATATAAAGAGACCGGCGACTGTCGCAAAACACTTTGAAGTTTCTTCAATAGTCCCATATACGTAACAAATACTTAAATTGTTGCCTGGGTTACCTCCTACCCCTCTGTGGGCCCCTGCACCAATAATATAAATAGTAAATACCTATGTTTACCACAAATTTCTTGAGATTTGCTTTTAAAATATTTTTAAAATTACTAAGAGAGATATAGCACTTTTTGGTAACCTAATGAGATTTCATGATTTCATGAGATTTCATTGTTTTATATTTATATATATTTATTATTTTTATATATTTTACTGAAATTTTACAAAAATTGAAGAAACTTCATCAAAATTTTATGAGCCAAAGGCATTTTTTATCCGTTTTCATATGCAATTATAGCAAAAGTAAAAGTTTAAATTAATTTATGCATATAAGTAACAATAATTACTTATAGTGTATTCAAATCCAAGCCGAACTAAACAAATACGCCCAGAAGCTTGATAACTCGTTCTTATTGGTCGATTCGGAATCTGTTGTAAATTATTATTTAAGGTCCCAGGAGAGGCCGCATGTGAAATTTATGCGAAATTTTCATTAAATTGCGAAACTTTCAATGAAATTTCTGAAACTTTCACAGGCAATGTTGAAATTTTCGAATTGAAAATTTCATTTGAAATTTTCAAAAATTTCACTTTTCCAACTAAATGAAATATTTCAAGTTTGAAACTTTCAAAGTTGAAATTTTCATTTGAAAATTTCAACTGTCCCAACCCTAATTATACTGTCAAAATAAAGCTCTTTCTATTGCATTTTACAGTTATTCTAAATCTTCAAAAACAAAAAAGTTACCTACAGACATTTGTCCATGCCATGTAACTTGTAACACGTAATCTATCGCAAACTTTTACAAAATTATTATTATTAAGGTATGCAGCAACAAGAAAAGGCCATCTCTGCCTTCTTAAAAGCCCTGGAAATCGATCCAAACAACGCAGAAGCGCTTCATGGCCTCAGGGCCTGCATTATTTAGAATTCCAACTTGTAAGGAGATCAGAATTCTGAGAAGAATTGGCAGAGGGCCATGCACAATCCGGAACTTCCTGCAATGCGCAGGATCCTGGAACAAATGCAAAACGACTGGCTTTGCCAGATCTCATAGTCACAATATCGCGGCAAAAATACAATAATTAAGATCTGGTATTCTTGCTGCTATTAATAAGTTAGGTTTAAGTGTTTTTTGTATTTTAATGGGTTATAATAAACTATGTGCTTCTTTCCTTTCAGCGTTTTTTTATTTATTTATTTCGGGACTTACGAAGTATCTATTGTGTTTAATTTGGGAATTATATAACAAGCATAGGCAGTTTAAAATCATTTATTTAGAAATTTAAAAAACAAGTTGACAGTATTTTCATAAATTATGTCACAAAGTTCATCAGGGTCCTCATTCCTTACTGATGCTATAACATCTAGAACTTGTCTGAAATATTAAAAAAAAAATTAAATCACAAAAAAATCTATTTTAAATCACCTAATATTGTTTGGCTCATTTCTGCTTTTAACCATGGAATCTGCCCTCCATTTCTCCTTTTTTACAGTTGGCACACACTGATTTTCTTTTGATACAAACTTATGCCCAGCATGTGTTGGCCTTATTTCACACCAGGGGCAATCAGTTTCAATTAGGATTTTGTCTTTTGGCAAAGTTTTAACTGTGGTCAGATTATCCTCTGTTTTTAGTGAACTAAAATACCATTTTTAATCCTTAATATAACAATCTGAATTATTTTGACTACCATCCATTTAAACCAATATAATACCCCATATCTATGAATCTTTTTGCTTCTTCAGACGTACCATCAAAAGAATGCACCACACCTTTACGACTGGAGTGATTTTTTAAAATCTCATACAAATCATCCGCAGCATTTCTACAATGCAAAAACAAAGGCAAATCGACATCCTCGCTGAGTTTTAACTGGTACTCAAAATATCTAAAGCAACATACGTTGTTTCAACACATAACCTAGATATTTTATGATTTTACTTTTTTTGTATATCCTTTGGACAAAATTGCAATCTATCATAGTCCAAACCACATTCACCCACAGCCACAATTTTTCTTTTTACGGAATTCGTGGACAGTATCAAGGATTTAAGCTGATCGAAATACAATTGAGGATTATCCTCAAATTCCATGCATCTGGTCGGGTGACAACCAACAGTGGCAAATAAACGATCTAAATGTAAAACATTCAAAAAATTGTTCCGTATCGCAGCTTTTTCGTAAAAAAAAAGTATGGGCGCCGTTTTTGTCAATAATAAATGCTGAAATATATAATTTACTAACACATTAATTTTTATTCCTATATTTAATAAAAGTAAATATATTGGTACAAAATTATATATTTCAGCATTTATTAATGACAAAATTGCTTATTTTAATACTTTTTAAAAATCTAAAAATTTTAACATTATTTTTAGAAATATTATTAATTTTTTTTTAAAAATACTGCATTTTTATCAAAAATAATCATTTGTACTAAACAATTGTTACTAATTAATTACCAAAAAAAATCAACAACAAATTTAACTCTGCCTACCGTCTGTTTGGGAAAGTTCCACAGACTTTGTGCTTTCCTCCAAATTTCCGCCGGTTATTATAAGCCTATCTAAGCCTGCATCCCAGCTACGTTGCAACACATTTTGTAAGTCCGCTTCATGTTTTCTACTACCATTATAAATGCCGTTGTACATTGTATCGGTTAAGTTTGCTCCAATATCTAGAAAAGCGAATATTTACGAGTTATTTTAAAATTACATTGAATATTTACCAATGTATTTTCTTAATTTGGCCATTATTCCGTTTGTTTTTGTTATTCCAAAATAATAAAGGAAAAAATGCAAACTTAACCTCACTATCACAAGGATCGTTCTGGGGATTTATTTGACAGATGACAGATGGTGAAGAAGAAGAAGACACACTCCTAAAAAGTAGGGTTAAGACAGTTAAGTGTAAAGTAGGGTTATGTTATGACTTCATAATTGTTATAAATTAAAGAAATAAACCAAAAGCGATGGCTTTACGTATTGCAAATACACTGGGACTCAAATTACTCCAGGTAAACGATATAAACGCACAAAGTTGCGACGTAAACGTACGTTTGTTGTATAGGAATCTGCTTGTGGATTTTTGGCCCCAATCGCGAGTACCGCTAACACGCAAATAGTGAGGCACAGGAGAACAAAACATTGGGATCCCAAATGGAAACTTTTGCGTCGTTTAAAGGTTATGAAGGTGGATCTTCCGAAGTTCGATGAAAAATGGGAGGATCTATCAGAGGAAGAGATACGGTCCAAACTTAAGGAACAAGGCGTTTTGCCACCCAGACCGTGGGCTGAGGGGCAGTATTTTATCAGCAACACTGGGGGAATTTTCGAGGCTTATGTGCCTCCAGAGGGAGACGGGAAAGTTTCTCCCATATCTGCGCAAGTAAGTTTTAAAACCTGCAATATTGAATATTGTAATTGTGTTATTTTTAGGGTGCAAAACAAAGTTTGGAATTTTTGGGCAAAAAATCCAAAACCATGATGGCAATCCGTAAAGTAAGGCAATTTGAGGAAGAGTTTGACTCGCTGAAATTCTGCAAAGAAGCCACCGGTATTTACATTAAAATGCATGAATATATGTTGGATGGGGATGAAGACAAACTGGCAGAAGTCGCTACCGAACGGGCTTTGCCTGAAATCATGCATAACATGAAAAATAAAACTATTAGATGGAGGTACATTAAGGACGTGGAACTACCGAGGATCGTGCATGCCAGATGTACGGATGTTATATCAAAAGAAAACATCTTTGGACAAATCACAGTCAGGTTCCACACTCAGCAAACTTTAGCGATCTACGATCGTTTTGGTAGATTGATTCACGGTAGCGAAATCATAGCAAAAGACGTTTTGGAGTACGTTGTGTTTGAAAAACATTTAGCTAGTCAGTACGGCGTTTGGAGGGTTCACGCTAAAATTATTCCCGATTGGATGCCACCCAAAGAACCATCACCAATCACGTTCAAGAAACTTCCCGCCCCTGTGAGCAAGGAAGTGGAAATTGTTGAAGAAAAACCCCTGGCAAGTCCCAGTGTTAATAAAAACGAGCCACAACCGGCTGTTGCTTAGTTTGTAAAAAGTAGAAGTTAAATAAATATGTTGAAATTTTTTATTTTCTTTAAGAATAATTCCTTCCAAAAGTTGTGATTGGCCGATTTTAATATTCACTGTGATTTGAACCAATCAGGTTTAAAATTTAAAGAAGGCGACTATAATTCAAAATTGGTAGAAAGTAAGGTTAACCATTTGACAGGTGTTGAATTTTATTTATTAATTTTTTAATGAAATATTATGTATCAAGTTTGATAAACGCCATTTTGGTCACGAATGAGTGTGAAGAAAAGTTTATAAATGAGTTGCATGCTATTATTTTTCTACGACAAATAAAACGATTTAAATAAAATATTTATATAGAGCGACATCTATGAAACAATAGTGTAACCATTCCAACTTATGTGTCAAATGTCAAATTTTTACGGGTATTATTACGAAATTTATCCCTTGAAAATTGACTAACCAAATCCGATATGGAAGAAGTTTTCCACAGTGACAGTAAAGAAAGTAAAGATAATCTTTTATATGCACTCCACGGGGGAATCTCCAGCCGAAATTAGTTAAATATTGTTTACTGTCGGCGAAATCAAAAGGTCAGTACAACTGAATATAAACTTTTCAAATATTAGCGTTGAGAAACTTTTTAATACTTTTGTATTTTTATATTAAGATAATAAAACCATTAGGGGCACTTAATTACTTAAAACTAACTTCAGCCCGTGACTAAACTAAAATGCCATAAAGCCACAACCTTTTATTGTGTATTTAAAAGGTCACAATGTCATGGAAACATCTAAACTTAGTAAAGTCGTATTTTTTATCACGAATGTGGAAAACCACGTGAGTGATAAAAATTGACTTTAATGCCGAGGTGCATATTAAATTTTATCCGAAATCACATTTAATAATACTAATAATTAATATTGATGATCAAATCAAATGTCATTTGAATGTAGGAAGTGTCTACGTATACTGTTTGTTGCGACCACAGACCTACAAACTTGTTTGTAGGTCTGTGGTTGCGACGGTTATGATATATTTGCCCGCCGCGGCGATTTTTTAATCTATTTAATAAAATTAACTTATTATTTTTATTAAACAACATTTTATGAAAGGGTCCAATCGACCTCCGCGAAGGTGTTTTTTTTTAAATAATATTTAGTTGCTGCTGAGGAGCAGTAGGCACATCTTAAAATGTATAATTGGTTGCATATAATACTCGTATTAAATCGGCAGTAAAGTTCTTACTTTACTGCCGATTTCGGATATAAATATTTTATCCTTTGATTTTTTTATTACTATAATTGTAAAATATTATCACAAAATATTAAAAAATTTTACACGGGAAATGTTAAAGGTACAAAAAGTGACGGTTGTATTTATTGGAATTCCCGTTAGAATTTTTAACTTGGGAATCTACCGGCGTTTTTTCTGTGTAAATCAAAACATATCCCTTGAAAATAGACTAACAACTAAAGTCAAAAACACTTTATTCATCTTATGGTATATTTCAACAAAAATAATATTTCAAAACAGTTTTTGGATGTAAAATTTAACAAAGAACTAATTAAAAATATAGTTATTATAGAAAAAAATATATCTACTGTATAAATAATTTCACAATTTAACAAATAAAATAAATAAGTTACTTTTAAAAACAAAATTTTTTAGTGATCCAAGATACGCATGTTTCCAGAAACTATCTTATTTTCTAGATTGGCACCTGATGGAATATCGATCCTATCTCCGTGATTTGCGATGATAATTACAGTTCCCTGTAATAAAAATTTATTATTTCAAAACAATTTTTTGACTTACCTATGGCACGCCGTTTTAGCATTTATTAAATAATAGTTTAGCACTTTAATGATGTTTTAACATAAATTTACAAAGTTATTTTTTTATGTCAAAATTGTTGGTCAAAAAATGTTTTAATTATAAAATACAACTGTAAAACTTATACTATAAATTTGTAAAGAGTCATTTAAGTTTGTTAAAAATAAAAGTTACTGGTTTAAATTTGTCATTAAAATGATGGTCAATAAATTTTAAATTTGTAGAGTCCTTTAAATTATAGTCGATAAATTTTTAATATAAATTTCTCAAATTACATTTAAAATGGTAATTTTTGGATTAAAAATTTATTGACCATCATTTAAATGACAAATTTAAACCAATAACTTTTATTTTTAACTAATTAAAATTTAAAGGAATAAAAATCTAAAATTGCGATATTAATATTAATATTATGGACTCAAACTTTCACAATAATTTAAATTGTTTGTCACCCCAAACAATATTTTTAAAATTTTAGTTCAAATATTTTATTCTACAAAATTAAAATACAAAATACGTGCAAAATAATCGATCCACACAAATTTTCGATGAATTTCAATCGCAAATAACTTTTTTATTTGATGTCGGATTTAAACGAATATTAAAGAATATTGTAGATAAATTAATGGACAATCGCTCACATTTTAAAAAAATTCTAAAAAATAGACGTACGTTTATAATATACAGGTTTAAACAAAATTATGTTTTTACAATAAGTTTAAGACACTCTGTAGAGTGGCAAAACCGTATATTGTTCTAAATTAAGTTTTATTTATCAAGTCACATCTATTCTTAACAGTTTTGTTTTTGGTTTACCTATATATATTTATTTTTGTGGAAAATATGGATTTTTTTAGAAAACATTGCAATTTTCAATATTTTTCTGTATGAAGAATTAAGGTTGCTATGATCCATCCATAGGCTATGGAGAATGACAGTGACAGTTTTGTTGAATCATCCCATACTTGGACATGTCATACACGACTTTCAAAAGCTATCAAATTGTTTTTTGTAAATTAATGTGTTAATTTTGAGGTGTCTTCTTACTTTTAAAAATGTCTCCGACTGATGTTGCCCTTTGTACTTTACTTCTTATGACGTTTAAAACACTTGCCACGTAATACTGTGACCGTCCTGGATTAAATTAATGGCTCTGGCAACATCAGTCGGAGACATATCCATTGTTTTAAGTAAGAAGACACCTCAAAATTTAAACATTAATTTGCAAAAAACAATTTGATAGCTTTTGAAAGCCGTGTATGACATGTCCAAGTATGGGGTGATTCAACAAAACTGTCACTGTCATTCTCCATAGCCTATGGATGGACCATAGCAACCTTAGTTCTTTATACAGAAAAATATTGGAAATTGCAATGTTTTTTTAAAAAATCCATATTTTCCACAAAAATAAATATATCGAGGTGAATCAAAAACAAAACTGTTAAGAATAGATGTGATTTGATAAATAAAACTTAATTTAGAACAATATACGGTTTTGCCACTCTACAGAGTGTCTTAAACTTATGGTAAAAAACATATTTTTGTTTAAACCTATATATTATAAACGTACGTCTATTTTTTAGTAATTTTTTAAAATGTGAGCGATTGTCCATTAATTTATCTACAATATTCTTCAATATTCGTTTAAATCCGACATCAAATAAAAAAGTTATTTGCGATTGAAATTCATCGAAAATTTGTGTGGATCGATTATTTTGCCTGTGAGTGTATTATACCTTTAGAGATACGCCTCTGCCGAAGGTAACGTCCCCGGAAACCGTCAAATGATCCAGCTCCAGCAAATCGGGGATGGCGGCGAATCTCCCCAAAAACTCCTTGACCTTGGAGAAGTGGTTGTCCCCGAGCTTGACCAGCGGCGTGGTGGGGAACATCCTTTGGGGGGACATGCTCAGAGAGCCGTTTTTAAGGGTGTACAGGTTGCTCATCACCAGCAATAAATCGGAGGTTTTTTTCACGGGCAAGAACCTGCTTCTCGGCACGTTGATGCCGATGGCGTTCTCGAAGGTTTTCATGGCGGCTCCTACAGCAGTTTCTAACTGAATCACGTTGACGTTGTTCGCCAATGATTTGTTGTTGATGATGATTTCCATGCGGAGCTTGTCTTCCCGCAAAACGCGCTCAATTGCTGAAATATTACTGGTTTATTGGTCTAAAATGTGTGCTATTATTGGGCGCCATTTTATTTTTTATTCAGGAATTATTCTTACGTGAAATTAGGAGACACAATGCATTATATTTAACTAAAAATGTCAATAAAACTGTCTAATATGACCCAAACTAAATTTAACTGTGAAAAATATCCACAAAACTGTCTAAAAGTACCGAACTTTATTGAACTGTTTAAAAATGTCCTTAAAACTATCAACTTTATTAAACTGTCAAAAATGACCCAAATTATATTAAATAAAAATGTAATTTAAACTGTCTAAAATGAAACAAACTATTGAACGACCTAAAATTGTCTAAAAATGTCCTTAAAACTGTTTAAACTTTAATAAACTGTCTAACCTTTTATAAAAAAGACCCAAACTGTATAAAACTGTCTAAAAAGTCCTTAAAACTATCTAAAATGACCCAAACTAAATTTAACTGTCTAAAAATATCCACAAAACTGTCTAAAAAGAACCAAACTTTATTGAACTGTCCTTAAAACTATATCAACTTTATTAAACAGTCTAAAATGACCCAAACTGTATTAAATTGTCTAAAATCACCCACTGTCTAAAAAAAGTCCTTAAAATTGTTTAAAATGACCCAACCTGTCTAAAAAGTCCTTAAACTGTCCAAAAAACCTCTCACTATCTCAACTTTATTAAACCGTATAAAATGATCCAAACTGTATTAAACTATCTAAAATCGCCCAAACTGCCTAAAAAATGTCCTTAAATTTTTTTAAAATGACCCAACCTGTCTAAAAAGTCTTTAAAACTGTCCAAAATGACCCAAATTATATTAAATAAAAATGTCCTTAAAACTGTCCAAACTTTTATAAAAAAAAAGACCCAAACTGTATAAAACTGTCTAAAAAGTCCTTAAAACTATCTAAAATGACCCAAACTAAATTTAACTGTCCAAAAATATCCACAAAACTGTCTAAAAAGAACCAAACTTTATTGAACTGTTTAAAAATGTCAAAACTATATCAACTTTATTAAACAGTCTAAAATGACCCAAACTGTCTAAAAATGTCCTTAAAATTGTTTAAAATGACAAAATCTGTCTAAAAAGTCCTTAAAACTGTCCAAAATGACCCAAATTATATTAAATAAAAATGTCATTTAAACTGTCTAAAATGAACCAAACTATTGAACGACCTAAAATTGTCTAAAAAATGTCCTTAAAACTGTCTAAACTTTAATATACTGTCTAAACTTTTATAAAATAAGACTCAAACTGTATAAAATGACCCAAACTAAATTTAACTGTCTAAAAATATCCACAAAACTGTCTAAAAAGAACCAAACTTTATTGAACCGTTTAAAAATGACCTTAAAACTATCTCAACTTTATTAAACCGTCTAAAAAGACCCAAACTGTATTAAACTGTCTAAAATCACCCAAACTGTCTAAAAAATGTCCTTAAAATTATTTAAATTGACCCAACCTGCCTAAAAAGTCCTTAAAATGGCGGCCATTTCAAGCGCGCGAAACGCACGAATTACAAAAATGTTTTTATAAAAAAAATTGTAGATTATTTATTATATAATATTTTGGCATCAAAATTGTCAAAATTATTCTTCTTTTATTAGGTTATACATTTAATAAAAAAAATTTCAAGAAACATTTTATGAAAGTAGATTTAATTTTAATAATTGAAGGGTGTGGATGGGACAAAAAAAAGATTTATCTTGTCCCGTCCATCCCTGTCAATTGAAATTATCTCTACTTTTATAAAATATTTCTTGCGATTTTTTTTATTTAATGTATACCCTAATAATAGAAGAATATATTTGACAATTTTGATGCAAAAATAATATATAATAAATTAGCTACAATTTTTTTTATAAAAACAGTTTTGTGATTTGTCCCGTCCATCCGCTTGAAATGGCCGATGGTCCAAAATGACCCAAATTATTTTAAATAAAAATGTCATTTAAACAGTCTAAAAATGTCCTCAAAACTGTCTAAACTTTTGTAAAATGACCCAAACTGTATAAAACTGTCTAAAAAGTCCTTAAAACTATCTAAAATGACCCAAACTAAATTTAACTGTGTAAAAATATCCACAAAACTGTCTAAAAAGAACCAAACTTTATTGAACTGTCCTTAAAACTATATCAACTTTATTAGACAGTCTAAAATGACCCAAACTGTATTAAACTGTCTAAAAATCCTTTAAACTGTCTAAAATCACCCAAACTGTTTAAAAAATTTCCTTAAAATTGTTTAAAATGACCCAACCTGTCTAAAAAGTCCTTAAAACTGTCCAAAATGACCCAAATTATATTAAATAAAAATGTCATTTAAACTGTCTAAAATGAACCAAACTATTGAACGACCTAAAATTGTCTAAAAATGTCCTTAAAACTGTCTAAACTTTAATATACTGTCTAAACTTTTATAAAAAAAGACTCAAACTGTATAAAATGACCCAAACTAAATTTAACTGTCTAAAAATATCCACAAAACTGTCTAAAATCACAAAAACTGTCTAAAAATGTAATTAAAATGACCCAACCTGTCTAAAAGTCCTTAAAACATTTAATAAACGACCTAAAACTATCTAAATATTATTTAAAAATCTGTTTCTTATATTTGTATTTTTTTGTTAAACACATTTTTAATTCGCTTAATTTAAAATAAGATTTAATTTTTATAAAAATATCAGTTTGGCATAAAAATTCCAAAGTGATATTTTTTATCTAATTGAATATATCACTACAGTGTTAAGACCTAAAAATAATTTCTGTATTTGTTACCGTCTAATTTGGCCCACAAGTTGTTGGTGTTGAAGAACTGGAATTTTTTCACGGATTTAAAGTCTTCCACGTGCTCTTTCGGGACTTGAGCGATCTCGAGAAGCCTCAACTTGTTTCCGTATTGGATCAAAGTACCTCCCTGGAATTTTAAATGTCAATCATCTTCGCTATGATTGGTTCAAAGATTTGTTTTACCTTAACGTCAGCTTTGGTTTTGTCGGTGACTTCCATGACGAATTCGTGTTGAACGTTGTCCTTGGGATTCAACAACAAGTTGAGAATGTTTATGTCTACAGTGGCCCCCAAATTGTCTATGTTCGATATGAAGCAGTACTCTTTACCGGAGCCGAGGAACTTCTTGAGGAGACCGGAGTTTTGAAAGCTCAGATAAAAATCACCGTGACCTAAAAAAAGTTATAGGGTAGCAATGGGGTAGTTAAATTTTTTCTGACCTATACTTTTTATGGTTTTATTCAAGGCGTTTTGTAATTTTAAATATTTCTGTGAAATCGGAATTTCAATTGAGTTTACCGTTTTCGAGATATTTACAAAGAAAAATCTCCTAATTACGTCACTAGGCTATTGACAACGTTGCCAGCTTTTTCTATGGTTGCCAGTGTGTTTAGTTTAAGATTCTTACGGTAGATGGCGCCACGTTATAATATTTTAGTTTTAAAACCACTTGATCTATAATTTTAGTTGAGAAGAAGAAGAAGAATGGATTTTTTGACGTTTCTTTTTTTCGGGTTATGTTTTTTTTAAATTTAGATTATTGAAAATCAATGTTATTGTTATGTTATTTGTAATTGACATTAGATAAGTGATTTATTCATAACGGACTCCAAAGCAGAGGAATCTTGTGGAATGGTTGGTTACATTGAACATTGGAGCTTTTAAACAATCTGTTGTCAGGTATTTTAAATAATATGACCGGTAAACTGTTTTAATTTATTTTAAAATTAAAAATGACACCAAGCTTATCTACTCCAAAACAACGCTCTCTTCTTCTTCTTCTTCTCCGTCGGGATGGCAGCTCCCGTTTTTACCATCCGAGTAGTGGCGCCCTCCAGTGGCCACCTAACCTAGTACGGCTTTTTAAACTTACGTCTAACATTTCGGCCATCCTGCAAAATAATAATGTCCTCATTATACCACCACCTATGTTACCTAAATATTGTAGAAGTCTCCGATTTTAGGTGCTACTGGGCTCCGTAATATTTACTGTTAGTGCTCCATATGTCACTCCTATTTTGGTCTCAAGACAATTTCTCCTACTCAATTGTCAATCACCAATTTACTTCATGCGAGTACCTCTCCAGCTATACTCTCTTTTTGTTTTGTTGCTGAAACGGAAAGAAAGTTTATTAGTAATACACAAACCATTTTTTTTTTGTTCCTGAAAGGGAAAGAAAGTTTATTAATAATACAGAATCATTACATACAACATTCTCACACACATTCTTTCAAGGGGGCCCCACATTCACTCAGACTCACTCTCATAATCACTCATTACATCATTAACACTATTGTATGGACGCAATGCATCCACTGCGACATGCGCTTTGAACCTTTTGTAGCCTTTTACTCCTTTTATGGCTTCAATGACATATCGGTCATTGCTGTTTACCTTGCACACCCTGAAAGGTCCATCATATTTATTTGCAAGCTTGCGATTTAGGCCCTTTTGACATTTATTCGTAGCTCCATGCCTCCATAACACCAAATCACCAATTTTGTATTTAATAGCTACTTTTCGTCGTTTGTCATAAGCAGTTTTCATCTTATGAGCAGCATTTTGTATATTTTCTGCAGCCAATGCGCGTTTTCGTGTTAGTTGTTGTCGCAAATCTACAGCTTGTGCGAGATCGTCATCTCTAAGCTTTTGGGTGTTAGTTGATTTGCCTCCTATAGTCTCCTTGCTACCTCCAGCACCCGACAGGCTCTCCTCTCCAGCATCTCCTGATTTTCTTGTGGTCGCTGCAGTTTTACCACCTCCCTTTGCCTGTTCTCCTTCTCCAACATTAGCGCGCTCTCCAGTCTCCAATTCAACAACTAAACCGCGACTTTCTCCATGTGCAAACATTAATTCACTAGGTGCGAATTTCGTACTCCTGTTTATTGTATTGTTTAATCCCCATACAATCTCTGGTAATTTTTCGTCCCACCTAGCTTCACTAGAGGCACTTGCTCCGATCGCCTGTATTAAACTCCTATTTACTCTCTCCACTTGCCCATTTGCCCGAGGAGTTGCAATAGCATTTAAAACGTGTCGCACACATTTTTCCTCCAGAAATGCTTTAAATTGTTTGCTAGTGAAAGCCAAACCTCTGTCACTAATAACTCTCCTGGGATATCCAAATTCACCAAATATCTCCATCAGTTTCTCAATAGTCTCATTTGAATTGACTGTTCTAGTTGGCTTTGCTATGACAAATTTCGAGAATCCATCCACCAACACCAACAAGTAGGAATTTCTCCTAGTGCTCTTCATGAATGGGCCCAAATGATCGATATGCACAGTGTCAAAAGGCACTGGCCTCCTGTCTATTGGATGCAAATATCCTTCTCCTTTTCCATAGTCACCTTTTGAAAATGCACATCTTATGCACGATTGAACATACTTTTTAATGAACTTATTCATTTTGGGAAACCAATACTCCTTTTTTACCAATTCTGCACATTTATCGACTCCTGGATGACCAATATCATCATGGTACCTTCTTAACAGCGTAAATCTGGCCATATTGGGTACATACAATCGATCTCCATTATCTGTCTTGCGATATAATCGTTGTTGTTTAACTTTGTATAACTTCTGGGTCTCTCTGTCAGCAATATTCGAGTTTAAAGTCATTACCAATTGCTTTGCTTTGTAATCCTGCAATTGCACCGACAAAAACCAGTCAGTTTCATTCATGGTAACCAAATTTATTTCAATACAACGCTCCAATTCAAGTGGATTTCTGCTCAAAGCGTCCACGTGTTGCATTTTGGTTCCAGCTCGATACTCAACCTCCATATCATATTCTTGTATTGCCAACCACCATCTAGCAATTCGAGGCACCAAATCTCGTTTCAACAGAGTTGATCTTATGGCAACACAATCAGTGATGATTTTGAAGTGAATGCCCACCAAATATGTTCGAAATCTCCTCACTGACTCCACGACAGCTAAAGTCTCCAACTCGTAGCTATGATACATCTGTTCAGCAGTGGTAGTACATCTGCTAAAATATGCTACTGGTCTCCAATCTTTGTCTCCAACTCGTTGCATCAAAATGCCACCAAGTCCATGTTTGCTGGCATCAGTATGCACCTGGGTTTCAGCTTGAGGATTATATATAGCTAGAACTGGTCTTTGACTTAGCAACTCCTTCAGTTTTTTATATGCACCTTGTTCCTCTTCTCCCCATTTCCACGCGACATCCTTTTTTGTTAGACTGGTCAACGGTTTGGCAATCACAGAAAATCCCTCGATAAATTTCCTGTAGTAGGATGCCAATCCAACGAATTGTCTCACCGTTCGTACATTTGTCGGACAAGGAAAATCAAGAACAGCTTGTATTTTTCGTTTTCCAGGCTTTATGCCTTCACCACATACTTCATGTCCCAAATACTCAATATCATTCTGCATAAATGAACATTTCTCCAATCTCAGCTTCAGACCAGCCTCTTCAATTAGCTTTAACACGGCGTTTAATAACTTAAGACCATCTTGTTCTCCATGTGAAGGTATTAAGATATCATCCATGTATGCTAGCACTTCCTTGTGTCTCAATTCACCCATTCACCCATCCACCATTCGTTGAAATACAGCTGGGGAGTTGGCCAGACCAAATGGAACCCTCAAATACTCGTAGTGACCATCAGGTGTTATAAATGCTGTTTTTGCCACCGAATTCTCATGCATTGCCATCTGATGGTAGCCTTGAGCCATATCCAGGGTAGTAAAATACCTTTTGCCACTCAATTTCTCCAATTGGTCTTCAATCAACGGCAATGGGTACCTGTCCTTTACCGTTATTGCATTAAGAGCACGATAATCTACGCACATGCGCACATCTCCTGTCTTCTTTGGTATTAACACCACTGGACTAGCGTAATTGGACTCTGAATCTTGGATAACACCAGCCTCCTTAAGTGTTTGTATTTTTTCTCTCACCAAACTTCGCTCTGAGTGTGACAATCGATAGGGTCTGTGAAATATCGGTACATCAGTTGTTGTTTTAATCTCCATTTTACCTATCGTCGTGAAACCTACATCAACATCATTTTTAGAAAAACATGCCTCCCTATTTTTTAATAATGTCAATAGTTCATTCTTACATAAATCAGACACATCCCCCATTTTTACTTGCCCAATTTTATCACCTAAACTAATAATATTCACCTGTGTAGTTTTGGTTGCTTTCTTTTTCTCTCCAGCCTTGGCCTCCTTGTTGCCTCCTAACTCCAAACGAAACAATACACGCCCCTTTCTCCAATGAATCTCCTTTTTTGTGAGATTGGTCACCTTCAGCAACTGGTTCTCCATTCCCAGCTTCAGAAGTTGGCCATGTATCATGAGGTAGCCGTGTTCAGTGGTTACAACTTTGTCCACCATAACAAAATCGCCACCTTGTTTACCACTCACGTCGACCTTGACCATCTGAGACGCAAATGATTTGCAACATAGCTCTTCTGCTAGCCGAATCACATATTTGCCCTCCTCCACTTCAGGCATACCAAAGCTGCTCATCCATTTGTCGGGACTCTCCTCCTCCAACAACATGGCTTTGCCCTGTCTGACCACCATTGTCAGGCCAGGCTGAGTGATAGCCTCAGTCCCGAGCAATATCTCAATGCGCCCCATGTCAGCATCTGTCACCAGCGGCCAGATGTTAATTTTAATGCCACTTATTGTAAGTAGCACCAAACACCTGCCTAGCGCCATTGTTTCTCCACCTCCAAAACCTTTGAGAATCACCTCTTCTCTCAATGGCTTAATTGAAGCTCCAATTTTCTCCACAAAAGCAGTGGACATCAAACTTTCCTCTGCTCCTGTATCAATGTAGCATCGAGCACTAACTTTCCCAACATAACCAAGCACCCTAAAAACAGAATCTAAAGGATTAATTAAAAGACTCACCCTAGTGTTTCGTTCTGTGGCCCCCTCCTGACTTCCTCCAGATGATCCTCCTTGTCGGTTCGGAAATGGTCCAAGAGGGCAGTCACGTGCTCGGTGCCCCACCTTGCCACACCGAATGCATCTCTCCACACGTGGGCGAGGACAATCCTTGCCTAGATGGTTCCCCATCTCCTGACAATTGTAGCAGCGAATCCGCGACACGCCGCTGGTAGAGGCTCCACTTCTCTTCTCCAATCTTTGCTCCTTGGAGGATTCTTGCCCTGCCTGCACCGAAGTCAAAAACCTCGTATACAATGCTTCAGGGGTCTTGCAGTTGGACGCCAAAGCTCCAATTTTGAGATCCTCCTGCAAGCCCTGAATAAGCAGCGAAACTGCACGCTCCCCCTGATGCAGGTCCACTCTACGCATCATCTCCAACTTTCGGTGATAATAATTAGTCAAACTCTCTCCATCTTGTTTGACTCTAAGCACCATTTGCTTAAGGGTGTCAGCAAAATCAGCTCTCCTTGGAAATGCCGCTGTCAAACCTCCTGAAAATTCCTCCCACGTTCTCGGAGCTCGGACACCATTGTACCATTCACGAGCAGCCCCCTCCAATTTGGCCTGCGCGATTAGTAACTGCTCCTTATCAGTCCACGCATTAGCTTCAGCTAACTCCTGAACTCTCTCGAGCCACCTCTCCACATTGGTGCTCTTATTTTCAGGGTTAAACGGCATCACCAGCTCCTGTCCCAAGCTTATAACCCCACCTCGATAGTTGCTTGAGGACTTGTCGTACCTATGGCTAGATGGCGTACTAGCGATTTCCTCCATACATTCTCCCACAGCTAGACGTGACTCCTGTCTTATTGTTCGACGCTGCTGATCAAGCAACATCCGTCCTTGCTGCTCGAGCAACTCCTTAAATAAGCCACGCATTACAGCCATGTTGTCAGCAACTGGTTCATTTTGACCGGCAGCCGTCTCCCTGCGTGAACCCTGCTCTGACTGACTCAGCATAGCCTCGTCATCCTCCAAATTGATCGACAGGTGGTCGCTCATTTTATAAAAACTCTAAAATTTCTCCAACTATTAATATAACGAATGCGCCTCACCTTTGTTTCGACTCTACTCCAACTAAGTCTCCAATTGAATTTCAGCACGTGGCACACCTAACCACAATTCGGCTTTTTACAACAACAGTTAATCACCACTTATTTTCTCCAATTCACTTATCTCCAGGCACTGCACTCTCGATCCAGATCTCACTTCTGAATTTGTTGTCAGGTATTTTAAATAATATGACCGGTAAACTGTTTTAATTTATTTTAAAATTAAAAATGACACCAAGCTTATCTACTCCAAAACAACGCTCTCTTCTTCTTCTTCTTCTCCGTCGGGATGGCAGCTCCCGTTTTTACCATCCGAGTAGTGGCGCCCTCCAGTGGCCACCTAACCTAGTACGGCTTTTTAAACTTACGTCTAACAAATCATTATAATCATATTATGTTGTAAATGCATTTCATTAGTATAATGCCTAGTTCTTTATATTCTTTTAGATTTATCTTAGACTCTAAAATATCAAACAGTAATATGATACCTCGTAATAAGGAAGATATGTACTTAATGAATTTGGTGACATCTTTCACTCAACTGACAGTGACAGTATTTGTACATCTTCGGTTATTTTCTGACATAACCGAATGAAATCATTAACAAGACAACTTGACAACAGGGTAATTTTCAACCAATAGAAATCTTAGAATGTTGGTCACATGGCGAGGTTTGTGACGTCATAAAAATTTATATTTTTTGTAAATATCTCGAAAACGGTAAACTTAATTGAAATTCTGATTTCACAGAAATGTTTAATATTACAAAACGCCTTGAATAAAACCATAAAAAGTATAGGTCGGAAAAAATTTAACTACCCCATCGGAGATTTTTAAACGAAAAATTTACCTGGCGGGTACCACGCTTCCAAGTCTTTTTGAACATCACAGTTTTTTGTTATGGGCAATAGGGTGTCCCTGCTTATTCTTGGATAGCAAGATTGGTTGAAGGTGTGAATTTCGACTTGCAAATTTTTGTACTTTCTGATTATTTTTTCCGTGTCGTCGTCGGTATTGAACGAATTCATAAGAACTAGAGGGACATTCACGTTGTACGTTTTATTGAGATGCTAAAATCAGATATTCAAAATGTCATTTTATTTAATTAAGTTTTTTAAAAATAAAACGAAGATTTCACCAAGGGCCGTATGCAGAAACGTTGATTTATTTATATCAACTGATTTAAGTTTGAACCAATGTTATGTTTGAGTTCTCTAAAAAACGCCTACAACCGCATTTTAAACAACAAAATATACCTACGTTTTCAAAAAACACCCGCCTTTCGCTGTCCGTAAGTTTGAATTCCAATAACTTTGTTAAAAATTATCGGATCTTATTGATTTAAAAACCAAGTGAAAGCCTAACCTTAGTAAACACTTTCAGAAAATTTTTGTTTAGTTATTTCAGAATAATTTTTTTTTAATTTTGAAACTTGTGTAACACTCATTTTCGCATGTCCCATTAGCGTTTTATAAAACTTACATACATGTTTTTTTTTAAATATTAAAAAACCAGAACTTTGTGTTGCTTTATAGCAATCCATAACATCCTTAGTTAATACAGTAAACAATTTATATATAAATTAATTAGTTTTTTTATTTTTTTTTATTTTTAATGTGCCTTCAACAGGCACCAGGCCCAATTACAGAAGTACACAACACAAATACAAATACACAGCCATACCCCTGGTGGGATTCGAACCCACGACCTCTCGGCTTGTAGTCCGCAGTGCTAACTACTACACCACCGAGGGCGGTTAATCTACTTTTTTTAAATTTGACTCATACCCCAGACATTTTTTCCGCTGCGTTACGTCCGTCGCGTTACCGATAGAATATTTAAAAAAACATATATATATATATATATATATATATATATATATGGCAACTTTTTTGGCACTCACGTGATCAACAAATGATGTTCGGTCGTAAACATTACCCAGCTGAATTTATTTATTTAATCAGGAAGAAGATATCGGTTGAAACAGGTGCGGGTAACGCGAATGTAATAATTGTTTGTCCGCTAAGTTACTCAAAAAAATAATAAAAATAAGGTAAGAAAAAATACTATTTTTCATGTTTATGTTTATTTTAAGGCACTAAAGCTCATTGAGAGTAATTAATGACTGTAATGTCTTATTATTATTTTTTAAATATGGTTTTACAAAACTTTGTCCACTGCGTTACCGAGTCCATTATGTTACCTTATAGTAACGCAATGGAATTTAGGGTAACGCAATAGAATTTTTCGAGTACAAAGTGGATATTTACCGTCGCTTTTATTAAAAGTAGTTTATGATAAACCAATTTTAAATTATTTGTGATTTCAACTCATGATATGGATTAGGTACATGCAAGGGAAAATTCCACGCAATATACATGTACTAAGTCCTTTGTGTAGCCCAGTCCGTTGAGATACCAATGTCTATTTCGTTACTTTTTTTTGTTAAAAAAATACACTTGTTAATACGTGTTTATAAATTAGAGTTTAATTCACTGATACAGTGACTAAAAGAAAATATTAATGGTATTGTTTTTTTAACAAAGAATCGGAATGGTGTCTTTTAAAAAGTAACTTGACTAACATAAATATTTAAAAAAGGCATACAATTTTTAATAAAAAATTGGAGTCAAAAGTTTGTGAACTAAGTACATTTTATTTCAAATTATTTTTATAACAACTTTTTTAATTGAATTAAATTTTAAACGCGTTTTTCTCAAAACCGTGTTTTTAAAGTCCGCTGTCAAGATTTCTCGCGAACTGCTCAACCGATCTTAATGAAATTTTACACAGGTCTTCGAGACATAATGTACAAGAGAGTAAACGAAGAATTTTTTTTTCAATAGTTATAATTGAAAAAAAAAATCAAGAAATTTTCACCAAAATTGGCATGTTTTTGGTAAAAACTTCTGTCAAACATGCAATTTTCACTTTTTTTTTTCCTTCGTCTAATACATAGTCTTAACTAAAACACGTATTTTTTTTTTTACTTCAGATGATCCTGTAAGAAGTTCTGCTGTCATCGCGGAGGCACCTTTTTTCCGAGGGACTACCGGAAATGACGTCGTAATGGCCGAGTTTTTAATATTTTCCTTTGAAAATTTTACATTATTTCCTTAAAATATGTGTCTTTGTAATAATTAAAAGTTTAAATAAAATAATTTATTTTTAATATTAAAAAAAAAATATTGAAAATAGGCCGTTTTTGGCTTGAGGAAACCCATGTAACCCCTTAACGTATACGGCCCTAAATGATTTTTGTGTAAAGTACTTTAACTTTTAGGACTTTTAGTACCTACTAGTTTCTTACCTCGATTTGTTGTACGGTGAGATCCAAGAAAGTGAGGTCGTTCCTCACGGAAATGACCGATTTGGGCCCGTGGCAACCCATGGAGGTGCCCAGCCCTCCATTCAACTTGATCACCACCAACTTGTTGAGCATCTTGGTGATGGCCTCGTTGTCTTCCGGCTTCGGAAGGGTGTGGTGCTCTTTGACGGCGTCGGCGGGCAGTTTTTCGATCTTGTCCCAGTTGACCGAAGGTCCGGACTCTTCGAGGAAGCGCTGGAACAGCTTGAGGAACCCCTGGAACTCGGCATTGGTTTGCGTTTTGTTTTCCTCCTTGCACGTGTTTAAAATCGAGTCGAGATCTTTGCGCAGGTGGTTGAGTGCGTCTCGTTTTGTCGCCTCCCGGAAGTCGTGGGAGCCGCTGGATCCTCGGCTATGGCCGCTCACCTATAAATTAATGAAAACATTCAATTTTCTTAGTAACAATTGAGCGAAGCACAAAAAGACACTTCTTGGCCGAATGGCATACAACATTTTATCTTCAAAGCACTTTATATAGGTCAATTTAATTCAACATCAAAGCGGCTTAACCTCACTTTTTTGGAATCTCATTTATTTATTAGCTAAAGATTACATTAAAAGTACAATAATTATTATTGCTTTTAGAAGCAGTAATGGTTTGACAATACCTAGCAACATGATTTAAGTAGAAATGGATTTTTGCTATTACCTACATTGAATTCAATTAATTGTTTAATAAATAGGTAGGTATCTAATTTCAATTTGTTTGGATTTTTATTTAAAAAATAGGTAGTTTGGAATGTTTAAGCTGTGTTTAACATTTAATTTCACTGAAAACTTAAAGCAAATTAAAACTTAAAGATAATTTAAATCGTAGAAAAAGAATCGTGCGTTTTCTTGGTTGCCTAACCTCACTTTTTGTTTTATTATTCATATATAATTTTACAATAATTTAATGAAAAATATTAACATTAACAGTAAAACAAACAAATTAGTGCTTATTATAAATAAATTAAACCAGTTTAGTACGTTCATTTCTTAGAAAAGGATTAATTTGTAAAAACAATACCCCTAGCGAGAAAAAATCGAACTAATTACTTGCCTCATAAAAAATTTTATCGGCCTAGGTCATAACAAGGTATTTCTTTATCGAATGTTGACAACAATAAAGTTTAAATTATAGACCGCGTGGAGATAAAATTAATTATACAACTTTAATTACAAAATTAAAATTCAGTGCATGTGTACATATACTTTTAATTGTATAAAAAATATTAAGTTAAATATTAATGTGTCACAAAAATATTGCACATAGAAAAATTACATTAAATAAATCTTATATCAACATATTTAAATAAAAAATAACTTCTTTGACATAATATGTATAATTCTAATTATATTATACATATTATGTATAATTCTAATTAATGTATTATTTTAAAGGTATTATTTTCCAGTGATTTTTTTTAAGTATTGATATTTCTAATCAAATTAAAAGTGAAACGGCGTGCCATACTAGTTTTTAAAAAGTGTCTGATGTAACATAGTTTATCCTTAACTCAATTAATATGGAATATTTTCTAATCTATTGATAATTATTTTTAGAAGTTTATTGCCATTTCAAATGCCCTTCATTATCTACGCCTATGTAAAATGTTATCACTTACAGGTCACTCAGAAATGGTTTAATTCTTTTCTTGACGCAAATATAATTATTTTAAACATCGATTAAATTTGTTTATTTTAAATGATTACCATTTTTCTGGCAAAATTAAAATGTTTTGGTAATTATTTAATCCTATTTTACAAAATAAAAATAATAATTAAAAAAATGAAATTATACAATTGTTTTTAAATTATTAAAAATGTTTTAATATAATAATAAAATCTTAAATATGCCCATGGATTTCTAATTAAAAAAAAAAACAAAATTGAAAAATACAAATTAAAAAAATTGCATGTTATTTACTAAATAAAATACTATATTATTTATTTTGTTGTTTGTTGGATTTTGAAAACAATACTTAAAATTTTGTAAATATTTACCACATTTATATTTCGTTATAGGTATGTAAGTTTATTAATATTCAATACCAATTTGGAAATGAATATTAATATATTAATATTATTGTCAAATAAAATATTATGGATTTATTAAGTTGGGCACTACATTGCGGGTAACATTTTCCAAATAATATAATAATTATTTTTTATTTTAATACAAAAGGCACTATATACATACAGTGTGACCCATTTGTTTGCGACTTAAAATGTAAAATCTTTATTGTGCGATTTTAACCGGATTTGTTTTAAAGTGTAGATCTTGATAAACTGTATTTTTGGAGTAAAAAACACCATATTTTTACAAAATACAAGGCCTACTATGTCAGTTTTAAAGAGTAAATTTTTAAAAATTCATATTAGCTATTTTTTTAAACAAAATCTAAGCACGTCACTGGATTCACCACCCCTCAAAACGACCCTTTACTAAATTTTATTGAAAAATTTTAAGTAGAAAAATGCACAATAGTAACTGCAAAAATTTATTCTGTCAAGTGATCCATGAAAAAAACATTGAAATAAAATTAAACTTATAGTAATAGTAACATTTAAATTTTTAAAAATGTACTATTAAAAACTGACATAGTAGGCCATGTAATTGTAAAAAATATGGCGTTTTTTGCTCCAAAAATACAGTTTATCAAGATCTTTACTTTAAAACAAATCCGGTTAAAATCGCACAATTAATAAAGATTTTACAGGGGTGAGTCGTTTCGCTTTTGACAGTTGCAGTGACATTTCTTTATGCAGTGTCATTTAAAATCTAAAAATTTGTTGTAAAAACGAATTAAATTTGTTGAATGCAAATCTAAAGAGAATATAAGAAAACCATAAAATGTAGGATTGTCTAATTATTCAAAAAAAAACTAAGTAGATGAAAATGACAAAATAAAATAAAAAAGAACATACCACATCTAGTAAACAATCCATTTTATTCAAATGTTTTTAAAAACGTGCGTCAATTTTTGACACAGCACTTGCACAGATCAACTACTAACTAAAATCAAACGAGATAACAGACTAATATAAACTAAGTTCAACTTATTTATCAAATTTTTAATTATCTTTCCTTGTGCTATTAAAATTGTCAAGCGTGTAACAATACATTAAATCTACACTAGGTACAACAAATACATGGATATTTAAAAAAAAATATGATAAAGCAAATAAATGCAAAACCTTGATTTTATTTGCTGTAGCCTAGGTAGACTGCGGAATAATTGCGCACCTAAAAGGAAACAAAGTACCTAATTTTCAGTCAATTTAAAATACCTAAACAACATTTATTTTCATATGTTCTCTTCGCATCTCCACGTACCACAGTGGGGCAATTTAAAAATCTAGTCAGCCAAAAAATATAATAAACATTTTTGTATTTACAGTGGTTCCCATAAATGTTATATCATCCAAATTATAAAACCTAAATTTCTTAATTTGGTTACAGAAATATATCACTCTTATATACCCCTTAAAGAGCTTATGTGGGGAGTTTATGAAGGTAATCGGTACCTATTTTAGTATTACTATAAAGTTTTATAAGTAGAAATATTATGGAAACCATTATATAACTACCGGCTTTTTTCCTTCTTTTAATATTTCTCTCTTCCTCAGGCACATTTAAAATATATATTTCCCAAGCAACAATTAAGTATTTGTTACGTATATGGGACTATTGAAGAAACTTTTAAGTGTTTTGTGTCAGTCGCCGGTCTCTTTATATTACTCTTTTATTACTAAATTACGACTAAAGTGGGGAACAATTATTGAGTTCCAAAAAGGTAACAAATATGTCACTAGCTATAAACCCTGCTACTATTTGGAACGTAGCTGCTACTAGAACGTTTCAATATCGTTGCTAGAGCGTTATAATTACTTTTATCTCCACGCGGTCTATAATTTAAACTTTATTGTTGTCAACATTCGATAAAGAAATACCTTGTTATGGCCTAGGCCGATAAAAATTTTTATGAGGCAAGTAATTAGTTCGATTTTTTCTCGCTAGGGGTATTGTTTTGACAAATTAATCCTTTTCTAAGAAATTAACGTACTAAACTGGTTTAATTTATTTAAAATAAGCACTAATTTGTTTGTTTTACTGTTATAACATTATAATGTTTAATATTTTTCATTAAATTATTGTAAAATTAAATATGAATAATAAAACAAAAAGTGTGGTTAGGACATTGCAATTTGACGTTTCTGTGAATTTCACAGTTGTTTTCTTTTTCTACGATTTAAATTATCTTCAAATTTTAATTTGCTTTAAGTTTTCAGTGAAATTAAATGTTAAATACAGCGTAAACATTCCAAACTACCTATTTTTTTTAATAAAAATGCAAACAAATTGAAATTAGATACCTATTTATTAAACAATTAATTGAATTCAATGTAATAGCAATAGGGTAAGTAAACCATTTTCTTACAAAAATCCATTTCTACTTAAATCATGTAGCTAGGTATTGTCAAACTATTACTGCTTCTAAAAGGAAAAATAATTATTGTACATTTAATGTAATCTTTAGCTAATAAATAAATGAGGTTCTAAAAAAGTGAGGTTAGGCCGCTTTCATGTTAAATTAAATTGACCTATATAAAGTGCTTTGAAGATAAAATGTTGTATGCCATTCGGCCAAGAAGTGTCTTTTTGTGCTTCGCTCAATTGTAGGCCTCCGCTACGCGTCGGCCTTCAAACTTTGAGCTTAGCACAAAAAGCCTTACTTCTTAACCTAATGACATAAATAACTATTATTTATTTGTTTTTACTTCTATATAAACTGTCAAACTTATATTAGATTATACTATCCCTCCTTTTTTAAATGGAACCACTACGGACTTGGCTTTTCAATGTCGTCGTTTATTAAATATGTACTGGTATTTTATAACTTCCAGAATAACAAAATAATGTTTATTTAGGCAGGTAAATTTATAAACCCTTTAAATTTTACTGTTAAACTTATGAATTTAGTTTTTGTAAAATAAATGCGCTTCATCAATATTTAAGTATAAACAAATTATTTATTTAATAATGTTTATAAATTAAAAAATCTTAATATTTATTATTAATTTTTTATTTAATTATTAATGCCGTCTATTACCAACAAAATTACCATTTATTAAAAAATAAACAACCATTTACAAACAATTAAAATAATTTATTATTTATTATTTACATTAATGTAATTACCACGGGGTACTGTACAGTAAAAAATGGCCGATAAGAAGCATTTTACTTTGAAGTAGTTTTCGCTACTTTAAAGTTTTTTTCCACCTTAATTTACTTTACGGTAGTTTTGGTTAATACCATAAACGTTCCAAATACTAAAATAATAACTTTTAAGTTATTAACTTTGTAGTTTTTAACTCATGTTCCAGTTTCGAAATTTTAACTTGCAAAGGGACTACAAAGTAAAAATAATTATAATGTAATCTTTAGGTAGCAACCGAAAGTAACTGCTACAAATTAAATTTACTTAAAAGTTTTTTTTACTTATAACACCTTTTTTAAAGTTGCAACCTAGTTTTACTTAAATGTTTATTACTTTATAGTTATAGTAGTTACAAAATATTGCTATTTAAAGTTAGAATTACTTTTAAGTAGCTGTTTAGTATACTTATAAGTTATAACTAATTTAAAGTTATCACCACTTTGGTAATGGTTTTTGGAACCAAAAATGCTGCTTGGGTAACTAGATGACGATTTTATAAAACCATGTTAAAGTCTTATATATAATTTGACAACTCTTATAAAACCTTTACATAAATTATCGTTACCATAATTATGTAGGTAGTACAAATTGTTTATTGGGAAATTAATTTTTTTAACAAAATTCATGTTTTGCTTTTTATTTTAAAAAATTGTTAATATTTATTTTTTAAATAGTTTAAATTTTACAATACTACAAACATCAGCGGGATTTTTATTCTTTTGGAAATGGTATATCCATATTTTATATGCTAATCTTAAAACATGCAAAAAAATGTAAACAATGTTAATATGCATCTAAAGATAAACTTGCAATTATCTATAATATATTCCATAGATACATATTAATAATGAATATATATTAGGCAAACTTAAGGTTGTAGGTAATTCTAACTATTTTTTTTTAACCAAGTAGTTACAATTTGTACATCAAACTATAGGTAATTCATTAATGTTAAATAATTTGTTGGCTCTATCCCAATTTATGACACGTGTTTAAAACTGTTAATAGGTATATTTAATGAATTAAAACAATAATCTTAAATTGCAATTCATAGCAATAAAATACCAATTGTTTTTATCTCATTTTTTGATGCAATCATTTAATAAAAAACGTTACTTTTAAGGACTAATTATATCTAATCTAGCATTTCAAATAAGCCTTTAAATGATAGGAAAACATTGAAACCAAAATCAAATACTCATCGTCGCCCCTACCACGAAAAACAATTAGAATTTCACAATTTGAAAAAGCCAGTCGAAAAGTGAACGGCGTCGGGCGATTAAAGGTCGAAGATAGGGCATCGCGGTTTGTAAATAAAAAAGCGATAACCTCTGCGAGCTATTAATACCAAAACTCAACTCACTTTTTTATCGGGATCTTCGGCGGACAGCATTCTGCTCCTAAACTGGCACTCTAGGTAATTTTTCAACCTGTATTTTGCTTTTAATTGTTATTGCGGATCGGGCAATTTGTGACAGACCGGCGGGCTTAGTGCGCAGCCGCGAACACGTGCATTTACAGGGACGCATCTGCATATCCGAATGCTACGGGGGATGCTCAAAAAGCGCATAAATAACACTATGATAGTTCGATTTACTGATTTACCTAAATTACGTAATTTTGAGCTGCTGATTTCAAAAATGCCACTCGTTTTTCTCCAGGACTTCTAGAATTCGAAATAATTGCGTAATGTAAAAATGTAAGTTTTTTTAAATATTTTGATTATTTATTAAATTATTTTGCCTTAAATCTATTTTGGATGTTCAATATATTTTAAACGTTTTTTGTCAAAAATATACAGGGACTTCATACAAAGTCATCGGTAGATAAATGTCAAATATAAATTTTGTTTGTTCCATTGTAGCCTACACTATACTATAGTAGTATTTTATAAAGGATATTTAATAAAGCACTTTTCTGCAGAGAAGTGCTTTATTAAATACCAAAACTAAAATTATAATGTTTTTTGGTAAAAAGTATCATTTTTTGAAATTTTTGTGTCGTTTTTTTTAATTACTAATTAAATTGAAAAGGCAACAAAGTAAATGGGTTTCGGTATAAGCATTACTCTTCGACTATTATTTGATATGTTTTTATTCACATCATGCCTAAACTACCCAAAAATTTAATCTCAAATCTTATTTATTAAGTCTTATCAAAATTTAATATCGAATTGAAGTATAAAGGCGCCTTTATCTACTTTATCGTTCAAGCACACTAAGGTGCACCTATTAATTATTGACATTTCAAATTTGAACTTTAAATTGTATTTTTACTTGAAAGTGATTTTAAGAACCAAAAATGAAAAAAGAGAAAGGAAAGAACATTTATGTCGTCGGTGTAAATTTGTTTTGTTTTTGTTGCGGTACCCAAGAAAAACCGACGCAATATTTCATAACAAAATTTTATGAGATATACCTACTATTTTAATTTTGCAGGAATATTAATTGAACCTGATATACGACGTTTATTGAAAGATCAAAAAATTCAAAAATGCTCTCAAAGTTGACGAGCTTGTCTCATATGGCAGTGTTAAAGCTGTCATTGAAAATGTTCTTGGTTAATATCGGGCCTAAAATTTGCGCCAATTCATTGAAAAAATGCTTTCCGTTTTGAAAAGAATTAGCGTTAATATGTCATTTAAAATAAATTTTCTTTTTTTTTCATCCTGATAAATTTGCCGAAGTTGGATTCATTGCTAGAAGACATTTGCTGGAATTTGCAGCAAAAGATGTACGACGATGATGAGGATTAAGCACAATAATTATTGTGCTAGTATTAATACTATAATCCAATTTGATATTTGATACGATTTAATAAATTTAAGGTAGAAAAAAAAATATTCAATGCATTAAATTTTGAAGGCTTAATAATTTGAAAAAAAAAATACTGAAACTTGTTTAAAAGTAATTACTAGTAGCTTTGTTGCCCTTTCAATTTAATAATTAAAATAAACGACAAAAAATGTCAAATACTTAATGCTTGTTTTTTTTACATAAAATACATTAAATTTTTAGTTTAAGTATTTGCCGTATACCAATTACTTTAGTACATTCAAGATAAATTTAAGCCAAAATAATTTAATAAATAATTAAAATACCAACAAAAAACTTACATTTAGAGGTGATTGAGAGCATTTTATTACGAAATTATTTTAAATCATGGACGTCCTAGAAAAAAACTAATGACATTTTTGAAATCAGCGGCCCAAAATTAGTTAAACTAAGCTGGAGTACTTAATGTTATGAAAAAAAGTTTGTAAATTTACAGGTTATAGGATAACCTATCATAGTGTAATTAAATGTAGATAAAAATGGCGATTTTTAAAACTCAAAAATACTTTTATCGTTGAGAAAACACATCTTAATCAATGCTTTTATTATAAAGAAAGTCAAAAGAAACATTTGGCATAATTTTTTTTGTTTTTCAGTTTTAAATATTTATTTAACCAGCTTTTAATTTACTTTTTTAGGTTTCACTTAAATTGAGTGTTAAAATAATTTTAATGTCGTCCCTTCCTCATTACGCGAAGGGTGAAGTTATAAAAGGGTTCGGTAGAGGTTCTAAGGAGTTAGGAATACCCACAGCAAATTACCCAGAGGATGTTGTGAATAATTTACCAGAAAATTTCGCCAAAGGTAATATCATGAGTAATATAAAAATAATATAAAAAAAAATTCCAATTTTTTAAAGGAATTTATTGCGGATTTGCTTCTGTGGACAACGGGGCTGTCCATAAAATGGTAATCAGCATTGGTTGGAACCCAACATACGGAAATACCACAAAATCCATGGAAACTCACATAATGAACATGAACGAGGGGGATTTTTATGGGAAAGAATTAAAAATAGTGATTTTAAATTATATAAGGGACGAGGTTAAGTTTACCACAATAGAAGCCCTCATAGAAACCATCCATTCCGACATTAAATATGCTGACGAAGAGTTAAACAAACCTGAATATGAAAAATATCGCTCCGATAATTTTTTTAAAGCCTAATAAATAAAAAAATACGTTAAAATCATTAAACTTTATTACTAATATAAATACCTACCTAAATATAAAAACAGCAAATTTAATCAATTAATCAATAAAATATTACAACAATAAAACCCTATACAATACTCATATACATTTCATTTTTAAGAAAAGTGCCTATTTCATTTATCACAGCAGCTTTCAGCGATTGGTTGGTCGACAATATTAACATTACAGCCGTTACATCTTTAGCAGTGACAGAATTAAGGACTTTGCTCACAGCACCGGAAAGTCTTTGTCTTTGTTCTCTAGTCATGTCTTCATTTATTACCCTCATTACAGATTTGAATTTTCCCTGTGAGTATTTTGCTGACGAAAGGGACCCCAAAGTACCACCTTAAAAATAAAATGTTTTGTGGTAAAATTGATTTTTCAAAACATTTATTAAGTCAAAGTTCTTTTATGGGGGCAAAAGGTTATAAATAACATAATCTAGGCAACCAAGATTACACGTGGAAGCATAAAACACAACTCACCAACAAATAATCCTAGTGGGCCCCCCAATACGCCTCCTGCGAATGTGCAAACTGCTGTAAAAGCCGCCGCTTTTGCTGAACCCCCAACAGTAGCATTCAATTGCTCTTTTTCCGATAAAACTTCAATAACTTTGAGACAGTCTTGTTTACTAGGAGCCATTGTACAAAAATCCACTTACTTATTCGAATAATTTACATGCAATAAATAGCATTTAGGCACGCACAAAAAATAAGGAAAAAACACCGCAAAAAAAGGTTTTTTACATTCACAATCAGTTTTAACAACTGCACACTATCACGACTTTAACCCATTTATTGTTCTTTGAATGTAGGATATTTTTAAACTTAAAAAACTCGTCAATTTTGGCAAAAGTTCATATCAAAAAGCGATAATAATAATAACAAATGTAAAAATAAAAATTTTACCGCCAGCGCCACCTAGCAATCAATTAAGACAAACGTTCTAGCGCCACCTATACTTAAAACAAGTCACCCAAAAAAAGAGATCTTGATTTTAAATGTCGCTTCCAATTGGTTGCGAGATGGCGCGGTGTGTCCGATTCCTTTCAAAAATAGTTAAATTTCCAAGATGGCAGCTGAAAGGATTTGTAACAAAATATAGTCTTGTGGTGTTTGTGAAAGGTTAGTTTTGCATCGAAAAAAGTATGTGTGACAGTGTAGCTTTCCTTTAATAACCGCGATAAATAAACAATTGAAAGTTTTGATAGGTGAGTTTCGTTATTTTTTTCTCCAGGTGTACGATCCTTAATTTTAATCAACAGAATACTCATGTAACGTGATTGACGTAAAATTTGTTCAGTCCAGTTGGCACACAATTTAAATGTTAAAATATTGAAAAACAAGGTGGCCACTTTTGAAAATAACTATTTAGGGATCCGAAGGGCACAGACAATTGTTTTTGTCGGGTTTTGTTTTCCTTTAGTTTAATGGAGAAATGTCAAATTTTTAATCGAGCAAGGTATAAACATATTAGGAAATACCTATCGTATCGAATTCTCCAATTTATTGTATGTGTGTAGTTTTCTTATTAAGTAGGCTATTGTAAAATTAAACAAAAGGAGGCCAAATTAAAAAGCTACAAGTAGCCTCTGGACAATTTGATTTCATTTATTTACCAATTTAAATACAATTCATTACTAAAAAAAATATACAATACCTACATCTGATTATAATAATTATTATAAAATAAACATTAAAATATGTTTTAACAATAATAAACAATTGTTTAATAAAATAATTGTTATCACAATACCAACTTAACAGCTCTAATATAAATAAACTCTAACAATTCCTGACAAATCTTTCTGTATACCTATAGATTAATAAAAAAGTAATCTATAGATTAATAAAAAAGTAATTTTATCACAAATTTAATTAAAAAATAGATAATGGTAAAACTACCTATATCTTGACTATTATTCGAGCTATTATTATAATATTTTTAAAAGCATAAATCTTCCATATTTAGGCGTTTTAGAATAAAAAAAAATTTGTTGCAATGTTTACTTTAAATTATAATGTTTAATCAATACTTTTTTTAAAATTTAATTTAACATAATATGTTAATTACTTAGGTGTGTATTGATTTTTAATAAATAAGCAATTATACCGAATAATTTGTTTAAAATTTAATCTTCTAGATATTTTTTATACTTTTTTCTACTCCCACCTTTAAAACGCCCTTTAACGTACATATTTCCATGACAATAAGAGACCTTTTAAATATACATTAACAAGTTGTGGCTTTATGGCGCTTTAGTCACGGGCTGAAGTTAGCAACAGGTTTTTAGTCACGGCCTGAAGTTAGTTTTAAGTTAGTTGACAGTTGTCAAATGTCATACAATCGTTAAAATAAAGTGCCTTTCTTGTAAAATAATACTAAAGGTGAAAATTATTTTATTATCTCAATACAAAAATACAAAAGTATGAAATAGTTTCTTAACGCCAATATTTGAAAAGTTTATATGCACATTGTACTGACCTTTTAATTTCGCCGGCAGTAAACTATAACTTAAATTCGGGCACGGACTCCACTGTAAAGTCCTCATAAAACCTTTTCTTTACTTTCACTGTGAAAAACTGTCAATTTTCAAGAAATACATTTCGATTTATGACCTTTATAATCTGTGTTTATAAAATGTAAAAATGTGACATTTGACGGTGACAGACAGATTCCCCTATTGTTTCATAGATGGCGCTCTATACAAATTTTGATTTAAATCATTTTAAGATAATAAGTATTTAGTTAGTGCATTTTTATTTCTGGCAACCTTAATTAGGACAAAGCTTTTTACTTGAATAACTTGCCAACTTTACAAATAAAATAATCGGAAAATCTTAGTTAATAAAGCTTGCAAAATATTGCACTGAAACTATTTTTGTACCAAACGGAATTTTTAAAGAAAACATTCGGGTTAAAACGATTCACAAAATAATTAATCGTATTTTTAACAACCGACTGCATAAAATTCTTGGATCCTGTTATAATTTATATTAATAATACAAGTAGTTTACTTTGTAGATACATTGTAAAGTTTAGAATCTAAATTAACTGTTTTTTGTTGCCAAAACTTACGTAGTAACTTCCATGCTTGCTGTTTAATTCAAATAATCTTGGTAAATATTTAATTTTGGAATTAATTAAAGCCATAACCACGAAAGATTTTCGTGATCGCATACAGAACAGCGTACTCGCAATTTTTTTAACAAATAAATAAACGACGTAGGATATATCTGACCTTGCCTAACATATTCATAAATGATCTAGGTAAGAAGTGCAAATCTTATCGCTTACACGTGTTTACTTGTTAAATTTATATACAGGGTGTACCGAAAAAGTTAAAAGTACTTATAGCTCGTCGAGATTGAAATGTTTATGATTCCTGGCGTAAGAAATTGGTGGCTGTCGTGAGAGATAGAAATGTGATTTAAATTGCGCTTTTGAATATTTGTAATAATTTATTCGTTTAAGGATATTACAATATTAGCTTAAATCAAGAGCAATAACCAAAAGTATTTCTTCGGAAGATATTTCTCTTTTGAATGAAGAAAGCGTTTTTTAGCGCAAAAAAATGTGATTTTAACAAGAAAACTGCATCTCTTAATTGAAAAGCTTGGGAACTTTCTAAGAAAGGGCCATTTGATTTTAATTATTGAAACATGCATTTAACAATTAAAATCAAGGACCTTCGTCTCAAGCCTAAATATTGGCATAGTTGAAAACTAGAATATTGACCGAAAAAAGGTTTTAAAACAAAATATATAAATAAAATAAGACATTTATTGTTTGATATTAACAAAAGCTCAAGTTTTTTTTATACTAATAAAATAACATAAATATGATTCAACATAAAATTTTTATTACATATTTTAATTAATATCTTACCTTTGAAAACATTAAACAAATTAATTAAATTTCATTTATTTAAAAAGATTATTAATGGTCCCAACTCCACACCTCAAAATCCCACCACGTGACCACGTACGGAACGCAGTCTTTTGAAAATTTGGCATTTAAGGCTTTTCAGGTTATGTATCTGTCAAAGTATAGTCAACGAAAGAAATAATATTATGTTTAGGCGTTAAAAATTTATAAATCTTTATAACATTACAATAGCAATGGATGGTTTAAGAATATAAATACAGCATTTAATGAAATTCTAAAGTGTATGGTGCCAAATAAGTAATATTTTTGTGCATTTGGTCCAAATATCTGGTTTTCTCCATACAATAATTTTAACTTAACAGCATTTATTAAAAAAAATCTAGCTTCTCTAATATGGAATAAGAATATCTGTTTTAAAGGTAGGTTAATATATTATAACAAAAATATCACCTAATTTTGTAATTTTAAGGTTAGAAAAATTTATTTTGACCAAAATAAATAAGTATTTTGGATTATTTAAAAGACTGTATAATATGGTATTTAAAAATGTGGTAGTTTTTCTTATCCAGCTTAAAATGTACCTACATAAAGTTTTGTCAATACAAATAGGTAAAGAGCTTCGACTGAACTTGATCTACATCGAAAAATCATTATAACTTTAAAAATTTTAATAAATCACATGTCATGGGAGTATTAAATATTTTCACATTGCAAGTTTCTCTAAAAATTGTTTGTTTTCTTATAATCTAACTTAAAGTAGGTAGGTATGCCAAGAGGTATGCACAAGTTTTGTCATTAAAAGTATAAAAGCTTCAATTTAATTTGAACCATATTCAATAATTATTTAGTATACCTATATTTATTTATAACCATATTTACACACTCTTCCAAATAATCCACTTATTTATTTTGGTCAAAATAGATTTTTCTAACCTTAAAATACAAAATTAGATGATACTTTTTGTTCTAATACATTAACCTACTTTTGATACAGATATTCTTATTTCATAATAGAGAAGTTAGATTTTTTAATAAATGCTGTTTAGTTAAAACTATTTTATGGAGAAATGTAGACCCAATGCACAAAAATATCACTTTTATTGCACCTTACACAGTGTAAGTTACACTTTGGAATTTCATTAAATGCATTATTTATATTCCTAAATTCTTAAACCAACCATTGTTATTGTGAAACTATAAAAATTTATTAACTTTTAACGCTTAAACATAAGCGGTAACACTATAAATATTATTTCTTTCACTGACTATACTTTGACAGATACATAACCTAAAAAGCCTTAAATGCCAAATTTTCAAAAGACTGCGTTCCGTACGTGGTCACGTGGTGGGACTTTGAGGGTCTATAATTTAAACTTTATTGTTGTTAACATTCAATAAAGAAATACCTTGTTATGGCCTAGGCCGATAAAAAATTTTATGAGGCAAGTAATTAGTTCGATTTTTTCTCGCTAGGGGTATTGTTTTGACAAATTAATAATTTTCTAAGAAATTAACGTACTAAACAGGTTTAATTTATTTATAATCAGCACTAATTTGTTTGTTTTACTGTTAATGTTTAATATTTTTCATTAAATTATTGTAAAATTAAATATTAATAATAAAACGAAAAGTGAGGTTAGGCAACAAAGAAAACGCACGATTCTTTTTCTACGGTTTAAATTATCTTTAAGTTTTAATTTGCTTTAAGTTTTCAGTGAAATTAAATGTTAAACACAGCTTAACATTCCAAACTACCTATTTTTTAAATAAAAATCCAAAAAATTGAAATTAGATACCTACCTATTTATTAAACAATTAATTGAATTCAATGTAATAGCAAAAATCCATTTTTACTTAAATCATGTGGCTAGGTATTGTCAAACTATTACTGCTTCTAAAAGGAATACCTAATAATTATTGTACATTTAATGTAATCTTTAGCTAATAAATAAATGGGATTCTAAAAAAGTAAGGTTAGGCCGCTTTGATGTTGAATTAAATTGACCTATATAAAGTGCTTTGAAGATAAAATGTTGTATGCCATTCGGCCAAGAAGTGCCTTTTTGTGCTTCGCTCAATTGTAGCTTAGCACAAAAAGCCTTACTTCTTAACCTTATGACATAAATAACTATTCTTGCCGCTAATTTTTTATCAAGAGAGTTGAGTACCTACTTTAGTTTAAGGGCACCTTTTTTCCTATCTAACTATTTCTGCCCGCAGTGTGGAAAAAAGTGTATGCAGTTTTAGTGGTGTGTGGGAAAAGTTCGTGTGTCGAACGGTTCCGAAACTCGAATTCAGATTGCGGCTCGACCTCGTAGAACACGTGGTACCTAGTGCAACTGAGCAGTCGATGGGGACCCGACAAATGCAAACTCTTCGTTCGGCAGTCGACTTGCGAAATTCGCGAACCAAACGCGAGTTTAAGTGATACGACGATTATTCGAATTTTGTGTGATATAGCTCAGGTTTTTTTTTCTACTTCTTCTATGAATTCTGGTGGTTGTGATTATTTGATAGGTTTTTTCGAGGATAACCTCAAGATGGACTGTTGGATGCAAGACGTGGTAGGTGCTTTCTCAATTGATTTTAAGTTATTTCTTGTTCTACTTCTAGATATATTATAAAGAAAAGATAGAAATACGTAAATGTTATTTGTTCAAGAGCAAAAATATTATGTTTCGAGTTTTAAATTGCGTTACTAATACAAAAAAAAGTTTATTTACCCCGTACGAAAAATGCTCTAGCTAGGTACCTACGTCATTAATCTTCAGACAATTTTTTTCTCCCCTTTTAAAATGCTATAATTTAATATAATTTACCAATGACAAATGTACAGGGTAATCCCCTATAATGTCGCCCACCTTTAACTTTTTTATTTTAAGTGTGGTTATGTAGGTACTAAAAAATACTTTTTTTCTACGTATAAAGAAAATTAGAAAATTTATCAGTATACAGGGAAAAACAAAAAGTTTACTTTTTTTCAATTGAATATATGTATTTATTTTTCGATTCCTTGTAAAATTCTAAGCATATTTCATATAACATTCCATATACCTAAGTTTAACTGAAATATTTAAATTATTTTTAAGATAATAAGTTGAAATAGTTTGCCTTTCTCTGTCTGAGTACGCCATTTTTACTTATTTAACAAGACTAACTATAGTAATTTATTTTCAATAAAAATTTTTGTATACTGAGGCTTCTTGATTTATAACAGTTTAAAAAAAAATTTAATGATAACATTTCGAATGCGAATATTTCAGAAACGGTTGAATTTAGGTATATGGTTTGTTATATGAATTATGCTCAGAATTTTACAAGGAATCGAAAAAAAAATTCATATATAGGGTGATCCATTGAAAAAAAATAAACCTTTTGTTTCCCCCTGTATATTGATAAATTTGCCATTTTTTTAATACGTAGAAAAAAGTATTTTTTAGTACCTACAAACCACACTTTTAATGTTTTGGGACACCTAAAATAAAAAAGTTAAAGGGGCGACATTATAGGGGATCACCCTGTACCTTGTTTGATTGATAAATAAATACCTATTATTATTATTTGGTATACAGTTTTCTTGATGAAAGAATATGAAAAATAATGGTGATAAAATTTTGGTCCATAGACGTCGCAAAAAAATTTAACAAAAGATAAGGATTTTTAAAAATTACTTCCAATGTTGACATTTTATATTTAATATGCTGTATTGTCTCCTATATTTAATAAGTACGTTTAATTGTTTGTAATTATACTATAGTATACTTATTATTTATTTAAAAATATTAACAATTATGCACAATGTGCATCGCACATGACATAAAAATATTAATTACTTAGTACCCATACTGGTAAACACGATTTGTAGTCTGGGCCTTGAGTTCAAAATGTTTTGGTCAAGTTTGAACAATTTTTGCACTATGAATTATTTTTGGCTTCCATTTTTAATAATCACAAAAATCCGCTTAAATTTTTTTGATGGAATTATCAATTATGTATAAAAATCAGTGCTGGCAAATATCATGATATTTATATAAATATCCAAATATCTGATATAAACTCACAGGCAAAATAATCGATCCACACAAATTTTCGATGCATTTCAATCGCAAATAACTTTTTTATTTGATGTCGGATTTAAACGAATATTAAAGAATATTGTAGATAAATTAATGGACAATCGCTCACATTTTAAAAAATTACTAAAAAATAGACGTACGTTTATAATATACAGGTTTAAACAAAAAGATGTTTTTACCACTCTGTAGAGTGGCAAAACCGTATATTGTTCTAAATTAAGTTTTATTTATCAAGTCACATCTACTCTTAGCAGTTTTGTTTATGGTTCACCTAGATATATTTATTTTTGTGGAAAATATGGATTTTTAAAAAAAACATTGCAATTTCCAATATTTTCTGTATGAAGAACTAAGGTTGCTATGGTCTATCCATAGGCTAATGAATGACAGTGACAGTTTTGTTGAATCATCCCATACTTGGACATGTCATACACGGCTTTCAAAAGCTATCAAATTTTTTTTTGTAAATTAAGGTTTAAATTTTGAGGTGTACCCTTACTTTAAAAAATGGATATGTCTCCGACTGATGTTGCCAGTCACAGTATTACGTGGCAAGTGTTTTAAACGTCATAAGTAAAGTACAAAGGGCAACATCAGTCGGAGACATTTTTAAAAGTAAGAAGACCCCTCAAAATTAACACAATAATTTACAAAAAAACAATTTGATACCTTTTGAAAGCTGTATATGACATGTCCAAGTATGGGATGATTCAACAAAACTGTCACTGTCATTCTCCATAGGCTATGGATGAACCATAGCAACCTTAGTTCTTCATACAGGAAAAATATTGGAAAATGCAATGTTTTTTTTTAAATCCATATTTTCCACAAAAATAAATACATCAAGAACCAAAAACAAAACTGTTAAACATAGATGTGACTCTTTTTGTTTAAACCTGTATATTATAAACGTGCGTCTATTTTTTAGTAATTTTTAAAATGTGAGCGATTCTCCATTAATGTATCTACAATATCCTTTAATATTTGTTTAAATCCGAAATCAAATAAAAAAGTTATTTGCGATTGAAATTCATCGAAAATTTGTGTGGATCGATTATTTTGCCTGCGAGTGTATATACTATATACTATATACTATATAGGTATTTAAAATTTAAAATTACTTAATTTAATATAATTTTAAATTTGATTTTAAAAATTTGAACAAAAATACTATTTTCCATACATTTACTGATAAAAAGAATTTTATAAAAAGGATAAATATCGGCGCATAAATATCATGATATTTATCACTGATATATATCCTGCCAACCTTGATAAAAAAATTCTGAAATTATTTGTAAAATCAAGTATCAAGTATACCTTACTTAATAAAAAATAAAATTCATAAATAAACTAAAACGCAACGAATGTAAATTGTTGACTGTGATATAATAGCCAAAACCGCATAGACTATGCGTCGCCACATAGAAACTGTTTTATTTTTAAACCGGCCTACCCAAATGATCTATTGTATTTTTAATTGCAAGTAATTACCGCATATTACGCGGTCCGTTTGCACTTTTGATTCAAATCAATTAAATACTTGGAAAATGGAATTTTTATACGTCAAATTTTGAAACCCCCCTTATATTTATTAATAAGTATCATAGGAATTAGGTAGGATAAAAATTTTATTTAATAAAAAAATAAAAACTAAAATTACCTAATAGTTTGGCGACCTTCATTTCACTTAATTATATTGCATTTATTTTAGTAATACCGCGAAATAATAATCTATTGTTGTTTTGTTTTATCTACCTTGCATACTATTAATTTATATACAGGGTGTTCCGAAAACACCACACTTACAAATCACTATCGGAGGAGGAAATATATTTTTAAAAAGTTTTTAAGCAGTGTGTCAAACTACATAAGTTATGGCGACCATGAAAACAAAAGATGGTGATGGTAACTCTTCAAATAAAAGGATTTTTAAAAATAATTTATGTATAAATTATTTAAAAAAATTCTGGACACCCTGAATAATATATTAAAAAACTTACTACTATACAGATAAATTTGTTTTTATCTGTAGGTGTGTAGGTGTGTTGGTGTAGGTTAGTTCCCAAAAAAATACTTACTAAGTAAATAGTGCGCATAAACCTATAAAATTAATGTAATAATAAATAGTACAACGATTTTTTTTGCACAAACAAGGTCAAGTAACATCAATAGAAAAAATGTTAATCCCATTTTCTATGCAAATAAAAATAATGTTGTTGCTGATAAAAATAACAACAATAATTATAGTTTCATACAACCACATAAATTATGATAACATTCTACATAATTTTACCACAATAATAGCACTGAGGGGTATCTAAAACCTTATTAAAAACCGTATTCCAAAAATTCAATTACGCAAAATTTCCGTTGCAAAAGCCAAGGCTCTATTAATTAAGATATATCAAATTTTATCCAAATGTTATGCAAATTATCAAATTAAATAAACAACCACCTTATCAACAAATATTTTATCTTTGATGTTTTGTCAATTGACCTATAGGCCCTCAGATTTTTATTACTGGGGCCTAAAATATTCGATATTTTTTATTTATTTGTATATTTCAGTATTTATTTTGTAGTAGTCTACCATGTTCATTTTTAATTAAAAATGTTGCTTCATCAAACGCATATGTAAAACAAATTAACATCGAGTAAGTTGCACCGTGCAATAATTAACATTGACCTTGAGACTGGAGTCTATTTAGGGAAAATTGCCTATAAATTATATAGTTGAATTCACTGTTTAGGCATCAATTTTTATGTATTAACAGTTTTGTTGCGGATTTTACCCGGTAAAAACATTTTTGAAAAAAAAATCCTAATTGACATTTTAATGACAGGAAATTTTCCACTCTACAAAAAAGGTTTTTTACGTTTTTTTCGTAAAACAATTCATTTAAATGATAACGGTAGTTGAAGTTTGAACTAAATAAAAATTAAATGTTTTTTTTTCAAAATTGTTTTTAAACTGTAAACAAGTGAAAAACGAACGCCCATGCTAAATAATTTTCTAAAATGATTTGATTAGTACTCTAAATTAAGAATTGTAAGGTTATAGTTTGTCCCTGATTAGAAATAGAAAATTATTACGAAATATTTTGAGAGTTGGTTTATAAAATTAATATTCATTTATAGGTAGCAATATTATTTTAGAAAATGTTTGAAATTTTTTTATACAAAATAGAACATTACAATGTATTTTTTCTCCACAAAAAATACGACCCTTAAAATCCGTTTTTTTTCTTGAGATCTTACGTAGAAAATGGCATAATTAATTGCGTGGGAAAAATAATTGTTTGGGAAACTACGAAATAAATTATAAAAATAACAACAAACTGAATTTATTTTTTAAATGGTAAAAATCGTTAAAAATAGTTGTCGGTTAAAAATACGAACCATATGCTTTTATTCAAAGATCCTCTGAAATCCCAAGCGGTTGGCAATACTTTTCTCGGCCGTGACGCAGCCCGAGAAACCGCCGA